GTTGTCCCCTCTCCGTTGCAAAAAGTTCAAGACATCTCCACAAAGCAATTTAACAATTTACTTTATTCATAATAGAGATAAGCTATTAAATCCTTGTACACAGAATTAAGAATACTTCGATATTGTTTTATGACGACTGCGTCTAATTTAGTTATTAAAGCGCAAAATAATTTCGTGAATATGTTCGTCGATCAAAATTTTTCAAAATTCGAAATGGCGTTGAAACGTACATACTTTGACTTCAAATGATACGACATAGAATAATTTTATATCGTTAATTGTACGGTACAAGGACGTTGTGAACCGAGGCAATCTGTGAATAATTTAGAAAAAATAAGACACATCATCAAACTGGCACAAACCATCGTCAGCTTCTAGAGACTGATATGCTACTATAAAGGTGAGTCTCTTAAAGTATTTTCTTAATAATAAATTTACCATAATAAAATAAATATCGAGAACAAATTGATTGTGGATAATCAAATTTTACTCCCATATAAAATAACATTTCACCAATTAAAATATAAATCAAATTCATTAACCATTTTAAATTTAAAAAAGTACCTATCTACCAATCTAATTCAGTTAAGTCGTGCCTAATTGACTTGCCGTTAAGTGAGCTGGCGACGTTTGCGATTACATACAACAAGTAACTGTCTTGTCATGTACACGATTGTTTTTAATTTTCAGATAAAAAGCAAAGTTACGTGGAACCATTAGCCATCATGGAGAACATGGGTTTTCGTGGTACTTCAAATTCTAATTCTCAAAAGATCTTATCACGTTCTGTAAGTATGCACAATGCTGAGGAGGCGGAAAGTTTTCCGCTTTACAGAACGCCCATCTACACGGGACGGTCCCGTTGGAAACACGACCATCACAAAAACAACGTGGAAGATGTTCTGGAAGAAGAGTTTGCTTCCAATGACTTTGAATATATGGAATGTGGTCCATCGCCTCCTTCAGACCATGCCCCAAATTTGTACGAAAGTTTTGAAGAATTCGCCACGACCGAACTGACCGTCCAAATATGTTACGAAACCATTCGACTTAATCTTCTAGATCACTTAAAAACTTCGTCAGGACGAACCCATTATTTCGACGATATCGAAAATAAAAAAGTCATTCAAGAAAATTTGCCACAGTTCTTTCAAGGAGCCACCAAGTTCGAAATAAACATTTGCTTTCTTTGGAGCGCATTTTTGAAGCGATGGGACCTATTGGACGGCTTTTTGGCATTGGGGGCTCAACTGAACTACTTCGAACCAAGTCAAGGACTAGGACCCTTGCATTTGGCCTCCTTCAGTGGGTGTATAGCTAGCACCCAGTTCCTAATAACCAAAGGGGCAGATGTAAACGCTTGCTTTAAGTGTTACACGCCTTTGCATTGCGCTGCTTTCGGTGATAGTTCGGAAACTGCTATGATCCTTCTAAATAATGGCGCCAGACTTAGCGCCCTTACCGCCAATCCAAACATGAGTCACGAAAGTGTCTTGCATTGTGCCGTACGCGCGAATGCCATAGGGTGTGTACGACTTTTTACGGCCGAAGGTGCTGACGTGGGACAAGTGGAACATTCAGGGATGTCCCCCATTCATTTGGCAGCAGATTTGGGACATGCACAGTGTCTCGGCATAATGCTCGAAATAAAAGGGATAAATATAAATGCCCGAGCCAAAGGGAGGGATATGACTGCGCTTCATCTTGCGGCCGAAGGGGGTTATGTGGAATGTATTGAAATGCTGTTGGGTAAAGGGGCCGATGCCAATTTGAGAAATCACAGGGGGCAAACGGCTCTTCATTTAGCCGCCAGGGCTCAATCGTTGGATGCTGTCGAATTACTTCTTCGCAAAGGTAATGCAAACCCTAACATCGCGGATTTCGACAAGAGAACTCCGCTTCATGCAGCAGTCGGAAAAAATGCCAAATCACATGACACCATCGAAGTCCTGGTTGCCTGGGGTGCAGACGTGAACGTTAAAGATCAATATGGTTACACCCCTCTACACGTAGCAGCTCTGAACGAACTGTCCCAATGCGTTGAGGTTTTGATATACCACGGAGCCGACGTTACGATGAAATCCAAATTTGGCATGACCGCACTTGGTATTATGACCAGGAAAACACCCGCATCCTTGGCCATGATAAGTCAAAAGCTGGATTCCGCCATAACTTTACATCATCACGCCGAATCGCCCAACCGAGAGGTGGAGATGAGACTAGACTTCAGGTGCATCCTTCAGCACTGCTACCCGAGGGAAATCAGCTTCCTGAACACGTTCGTTGACGAAGGGCAAAAAGAAATACTTCTACATCCTCTGTGTTCCGCATTCTTATACTTGAAATGGGAAAAAATCCGCAAATATTACATTGCGAGGATGTTCTTTTGTTTTATTTTCGTCCTCGGACTGTCCTTGTACGTCCTAACCGCTTTGGCTCATAACTGTTACAACCATGGTAAAAATATGAACGACACCGATCCAGATCCTATCGAACTATGCGAGAAAAAATCGATGATGGGACACATGTTACGAAGCAATCCTTTCGTAATCGAAATGCAGTGGTTCGTTCTGGTAGGAATAACCGCGTGCGAAATATTAAGAAAAATGTACGGTTTGGCCGGCTATCCTAGTTTGAAGCAGTATTTATCGTATCCCGAAAACATAATCGAATGGTTCGTAATCGTTAGTGTTTTCGTAATTTCTTTCGTTTACACGGGACGCACATATATGTGGCAAAACCATATCGGTGCCTTCGCGGTACTCTTGGGCTGGACCAATTTAATGTTAATGATAGGTCAACTGCCAATTTTCGGTTCTTACATCGCCATGTATACCAGAGTTCTCGGTGAATTCGCTAAACTTCTTTTGGCCTATTCATGTCTACTTATAGGATTCGGGATAAGTTTTTGCGTAATTTTTCCGGATTCGTCCTTCTTCGCTAATCCATTCATAGGTCTCATCACGGTTTTAGTTATGATGACCGGAGAAATAGAACTGGGATTGTTGGTTGACGACGAAGATTCGCCGTTTCTATTAGAAATAAGCGCCCAAATAACATTCGTTTTATTTCTTCTCTTTGTTACGGTGATCTTAATGAATTTACTTGTAGGCATTGCTGTCCATGATATAAGAGGTTTACAAAAAACGGCAGGCCTATCCAAATTAGTCAGGCAAACGAAACTTATTTCATACATAGAACTGGCCTTGTTCAACGACTATTTACCGAAGTATTTGTTAAATTTGTTGCACTGGACAGCACTGGTCTCTCCGAAAGCTTACAGAGTCGTTCTGAACGTTAAACCTTTAAATCCAAGAGAAAAAAGATTACCCAACGATATACTGATGGCGGCTTACGAAATAGCCAAGAAAAGAAAACAACATGGTCATACCATATCCCCTGGAAACAACGCAACGTCGTTCGTTTCGAAAAAATGGATAAACAACAATTCGGACGAGAACAGCGACATTGTAGAACATTCCAATAATTGCAACAGTATGCAGAACATGCTGGATCGAAATGCGGACCAAATAGAAAATCTAAGCGCACAAGTGAACGAATTAAAACAAGCCGTTTCCAATACGCACAGAATGATGGAACAGTTACTTCTAGTTGTAAAGCAACAACACAAAACAAAAAGTTAAGAAATTTCATGTTTTATTCAATAAATCAATACCTATCTAACATGCACTTACATGATGTTTATTTGTTTTACATTGGTTAACTCTATGTTTATTACCATTTTTATTCATTTTTACCAATTCCGAATAACGTACCCCTATACCTATCATTAATTACATTCGAAATTCGATTTTCTTTTTTTTTTTCTTTTACGTATGTATAAGCAAAATGTTAGCTTTATAACACAATTGTAATTGTAGATTACGTAGATGTTATTTTTATAATAGAGCACTTTTCATCAATTGTGTGATATAAGAAATATTTTGTAAAACGTGTAGTTGATTAAGTGCACCAAAATATAAATAATATTAAATTGAAAAATAAAAATACTTGGTAGAGTTTCACAAAATTTATTTAAAGACTGTCTACAGCTGTTCCGATTTTTACATTATTTTCAACATTGAAAATTACCTGCGGTCCTAATACTGTGAAATTTTAATAAACCGTCACTGAATAATTAAAATATGTTTTTTCAGAAAGAAGTTTTGTTCGATTCCTTTTTAAATGCACATAAGGCAAATAACAATATCTATTGGAGTTCAAAATGAAATTATAACACAGATTATAAGAATAAATAAAAAATAACGAAAAATAAATTACAAAATAATAACAGAAATGCTGGATATAGCACAGCACAATTATTAGAGTACCTAATCTACATAACTATGAACTAAATCATAATTTTCTTCTCACTCCAACTTTATTAAATCTACATCTTTTAATAAGTTCAAATTTTCGATATCTCATACAATGCCACTGCGGCACTCGGGCCATTGCTTCGATTATCTGAAAATTAAACAATTACAAAAAAACGCTCAATTCCTAGTCGTAACGTCTTATATTAAACACAAAAAGAATTAAGGGAAAAAAGACTCACTTTTTCAAGATGACCACCTGTTGGTGCAGAATAAATACAAGAAAACAACAACGAAACCAAGACGTACGCCTTCAAGTATTCAAAGCACTGCATGCTTGATGAAAGATAAGCCAATGGTGCGCACAGCCGCGGTTTTTATATTAAAAACAAGCATACACAAGTCACTAAACATCGAACACATCAAACAAATTATTATATAAAACCTCATTCACGTGATAACTCAGTTGCGTTATACGTTTAAAGCAAATTAAATAAATTAAAGACAGACAAGTAAAAGTTCACGTACTCGTTGTCTCTTTAATGTTTTTAGAATTAATTGAGACGCCGCAAGCGTTTTATACGGGTCGTTTTTCACTTAGGACGAGTTATAGGCGTTTTTCTTACACTTGGGGATTAGTTTTAAGCAACAGTTGTCCTAATTCTCATGTCTTGCACTTAAAAGTTATTGTCTCAATAAACGAGTCATCAAGTGGTTTTCAGGTCGACAGTGAATAAAGCGCTAAATAAAACACATTTCCCTTTTCCGATTAGATACGTACGAACAAATATGTATTTGCAAGCTTAAAGGGAGGATTTATCTGCAAAAGTTTTATAATATATAATGCAAAGATAATTTTAAGAGATTATGCGATTAAAAGGTCATCGTTTTAAGTTCCCTTTTCTTTACACTCAGATTTTTATCAACAAAAATAATTACAAAAAAATGATTCAAAATATTCTGAAGAAATATTCCACTACAAACAAAATAAAGAATATTTTCACTTTTTATAATAAATTATCTTATTTACGATTAGTAATCGTAGTTTCTAGTGATAACGTTACTTTAGACATTTCTACATTACTCAATTGGTTATGAACTGAGTTTGTAGACACTGATGAGGCGACGTTGACATTATCTATGGACACGACTGACAGTATATTTCTGTAATCTATGGATGGAACCATTAATAAGATTAAGTGACGTTTGTATGACATATACAGCAGTAAAAATTCATTTCTGACAATTTTAACTAGATAATTTTAGATAAAAATGTGGTTTAGAAAAAGTACAGACATCATGACGTTGACTTAAGGAAAACCTCGGATTTATGTCGATTTTAAAGCTTCTAATTTACACAGCACTATGCCAAAGTGCGATGTAAAAACAAGATATATACCCGCTGCGTTTGCCTGGACCTTGCTTTTAGGTGCTACAACACTTTTCTTCTATTTTCCGTAAGTTATTCGGCTACAAATTACCCAAATATTGACATACCGCAACAATTTGTAGAGCTCAGTATTATATATTTCGATACCCATGGGTACCAGCATATCAAGGTGTGATCACATTCTTTGTTCTTGCAAATTTTACTTTGGCGACGTTTATGGACCCAGGAGTGATTCCGAAAGGTGCATATTAAAGTGTACGAAAGTATAGAAAATTTGAAAATATGATGTGAAATTTTAGCTCCACCAGATGAGGACCGTGAAGACGATTTTAGGGCACCTTTATATAAAAATGTAGATATTAATGGAATAACTGTGCGTATGAAATGGTGTGTAACTTGTAAATTTTATCGACCACCTCGATGTTCACATTGTAGCGTGTGTAATCATTGTATAGAGGTAAGAAACGTATCTAAGTAAAAATAACTCAATTATTCCGTCTAATTTCATTATTTCACATTTAATAGACTTTCGATCATCACTGTCCATGGGTTAATAATTGCATAGGAAGGAGAAACTACAGATTTTTCTTTTTCTTTCTAATATCACTAAGTCTACACATGATAAGCATTTTTACATTAAGCTTAATATTTGTTCTCCAAAATAAGGATAGACTTTCAGAAGTACAGCCAATTGTTGCGTATCCTTTACTTGATGTTTAATAATATAAAATTATAATCTAATGATGAGATTATTGCTTCCTTAACATAATTAAAATAGTATGGTGTTGATAGTAATAGTTACAATTTTAGCAATTCCTATTTTTGGTTTAACTGGCTTTCACATGGTGTTGGTATCAAGAGGCAGAACAACAAATGAACAAGTCACCGGCAAATTCAAAGGGGGCCACAATCCATTTTCAAGAGGTTGTTGGGATAACTGTTGTTACAGCCAGTGTGGACCTCAATATCCTAGGTAATTAAGTTATAGTGTGGCTTTATATAAATATCTCATTCCCATCTTCTTTAGTCTAATTCGACCGAATAAATTCATTGTTAAACGAAAGCACTGTTCCCATGGCCCCATAGCCACCATAACAAATGATAATCAAGTAAAAACTTACATGGACAACAGTAACGGGATTCGAAGTGCCAATTCCAATGCCTATAACAAGGTAATATGCTTGTTTAATATTTAGTACCCAATTAAAATAAAAATAGTTAACAATTCACAAATTACATTACACGATAAAAACTGTTAACTAACTACAGTTATCACCTGGACGAGACGGTTCCGATCCGGACATGGAACCGTCGGCGTCCCAGTCCCAAGACTGCGAACCTACACCTCCCCTCCAACGACACGGTTCCAAGAGTAATTTTTTTCTACCGCAATCATCGATGGATGGGACGGAATCGCCGAGACACCCACGACATTATCCACGCTGTAGTCCTCATCCGCGTCCCCGAGGATTTGACGGAATGCGCGGGGCTACTCCTGAAACAATCGCCAGCCAACGTCCCTCCCCAACGATGCAGCAACGCATCAAAGCTCTCGGTGTTCCCACCCCACTTGCTCTGTCATCTAGTCCCGTACGAAGGTATTTAATTACATACGATATTTGGAATGCTTTAACAGTAATATCGATAGTGTGTGAACTTGTTAAATAATTGTTACTGTTTTTGTTAATTTGCATTAACAAAAAACTTGGCTATTATTTTTAGCGGATGCATTACTGCGAATTACATCATGTAACAGTAGTTTAGGAATGGTATACAGAGACAGGAAGTTGTGGAATGTGAAGGTGGTTCTCAATCGCTTTGTCTTTTTAGGTGGACATGATCGATGCGTTATGGCTTTCGCTTGTTTTTATTTAAATTTTGTTGTGTGTCCTGTTTCACGTTGTCGCTAGAACGTCAGTAGTCGCTTGCTCCTCTTCACAGATCTAACCCCAGCACTCCCACGCAGCCTCGCAGACCCGATTTCATCAGCGTGAGCGGCGGTAATCCTACGAGCCACATCATTCAACAGCAGCATTGCGACTTCTCGTCGTATCAATCGAACCATCAGCAGCAACAACAGCAACATCATCAAACGACTTATGGAGGAAGTCCGCAGCGTAGATTTATGTCAGAGGGCGAGCTGGTCCGTCAAGAATCACAGCTATCCTATCCTCGTGCTAACAATACTGTTGACAACATAAGGGAATTAGCCAACTCACCTCAACGAGGAATTTACATGTGGAAGGACATGTCGCCAGGATATACTAATGGACAGAGTGTAATACAAAATCATGAGTTTTACCGATCCAATCCGACTAGTCCTACACAACAACAACAACAGCAGCAGCAGCAACAGCAACAGCACTCTAGGGCGTATCATCCCGCAGTGAGGGGTGGAATCCCCGTTTATCCGCCGCAGAGTCCTCAAATTCATAGGAAAGCCGTGCAGGGCGTAAGTGGAAATAGTACCGGACAAAATGTGGCGACTGCGGTCCGTAGACCGATGTCGTTCGTGCGCGCACTCGAAATGTCTGATTCGGTCGACTTAAATGTAGCCTCAAATACGGTCAGCGGTGGACAACATGTGAACGTCGTTAGGTCAACTACTCCGGATCGCACGAGCGTCTATGACATGAACTACGAAATTTCAGTTTGAATCGAGTTTTTTTCCCAGTTTTGCAAAACTATTTAATATGCGTTTCTCGAAAAAATTTTTAGTTTCATTATAAAATTCCCTTCTTTCATAAATTATTCACTGAAAAGCTTACACCTAATATCGTATCTGAAGACTCATTTTAATAATTGTGACGTTAAAGCTGACAAAAATATGATTTAAAAAAGTAATGACCTTTTTCTCCAATATAAATTTTATTAATAATATTTTCCGTCCTTTTTCTTTTATAATTATTGCCCGACAGTTTGCTCTTCTTCAATTGGAAAAGAAAATGTCGCAAAATAGTTACTTTATTTAAGCACAACAAGTGCTCAGCAAGTTTCTCTGCATCAGAGACTTTAAATACTATTGTTAATGTGTAAAAGAACGTGCTAAATACCGCGGACTTCTGTATTAGCAAAAAACTAAAATTAATACGTAAATGATAAAGTAAATTACGTGTTACTCATTGTTGTACAGTTCAAAATGTTTTAATATTTTGTATGTTATTTTTCATTAATTATGGATTTGAATAACGTCATCATTGTTTTTTCGTGTTTTTGCGGAATAAATTAAATGATGGTCGTTCTTTATTGAAACTGTAATCACTATCCCAGGTAATTTGTACATGTATCTCCTAGAGGCCGTTCATAGAATACGTTCGCAAACAGGGAGGGGGGAATGTTGCTTAGCTTGACGAGTATGGACAAAGAGGTAGGGGGGAGGACTCTAAAGAAACATGACGTTCGCAGTTAATCAATTTTATTTTAGTTCTTGGGTTTTTTATTCTATTTTCTCATTTTATTATACTATTATCAATCGTAACGAATCGTTTACTTGGGAAAGTTTAGCTTTTGCGACGTAATATTTGTTAGAGGGTTGCAGAAAACATGACGAGAGTTCGAAGATCAGGAAGGCGAAATTTTGAGTGACGGATTTCATAAACGGCCCCTTATTTGTCGATCATATTAATATTTTTTTTTTAATTTGAAACCACGTATCTATATGTTGTTTTTAATATTAACTCCAGATTTGTTCTGTAAATACTAATCAAATTTGTATTTATTTGCAATAAAATGTATACTGAAAATTCAAAAATGTGTTTTATTTGTTGTGTGAACTCCAATAAACAATTATCATGTTTGATTATTTGAAGACATATCAATTTCTAAACTCATATCAGTCAATTGTTCCTGTTCGCTGATTTCGGGCACGGCAACCATTTCCTCTTCAATCATAATGCAATTTTCTGATCCTGCTTCTTTTGCCACCGTTGCAGAAAAATTAGGAATGAAATTAGGGGCACCAGGATACGGGGCCTGTTCCTCAGATAAATGTTCTATTAAGTAACTCAACATTGTGGTACTAAACGTGTCGTCCATCCGAAGTCCGAGGGCTTTATGAAACCAATGAACGGCATCCTCTGTTTTGCCCATTAAAGCATTAACATAAGCAATAGCAGAAAAGGTACTTGCGGACAAAGGAGACAATGTTAATGCTTTATGATGATATTCTAAAGCTTCTTCGTATCTTCGTAGCTTTCTGTATGTGTGTCCCAAATTATTTAATAATGGTTCCCATTGTGCTGGTAAAATTGATCCGTTTACGCTTTGCGTTTTGCAGAGAGCATTTTTAAAATATTGCTCTGCTTTTGTGTATTCGTTATTATGAAAAGCAATGACTCCCATTTCGTGCATTACAAACGGATCGTATGGAGCAATAGCTTGAGCCTGTTGAAAGAACTCTTCTGCCAGTCTATTATTATTGGTGATACCACATTCTAAACCTATGTAAAGCAATGGCAAATGACAACCTTTCATCAACTGTGAAGCTTTAAAATATGCAGCCATTGCTTGATCATGTTCATTTTCTGTTGCAAACGAATGACCAAATGCTAACCATGCAGGACCATAAAGTCTATCCAAAGTAGTGGCTTTCGACAAAAATCTCCTAGCCAAATCGCTCTTGCCTATAGTATAGTAATAGCATCCCACAGCAAACCATGCAATTGCCAAAGATGGATAGAGGTCAACTAAAGTATGAGCTAATGTAAATAACTTATTGCTATGCTTAAGCTCCACTTGACAGGAAATGTATATGGGAAGGCATTCATTGTGATAAGGATCTTGTTTTAAAATTTTTTCAGACAGCTTACTACAATTCTGATATTCACAATTATAATATAGCCTTTCTGCCTCAGACACTGCCATGTCTATACTCTCTTGTACCTGAAGCAACCATTTATTTACTTTTACATCCTTGCCAGTTCCATTTTCAGAAATAGAAGTGTCGGGGTTTTCATTTTTAGATAAAAGAGATTTAGAATCCATTTTTGTTGTTCCACAAGATAAACTAATATCTCTGATAATCTTAGGTGAGGGTGTGTGATATTTTTTTAATTTGCTTTTATATAAAGTCAACAGAACTTGTTTCTCCAAAGGGTCACATTGTTCTGATATTGCTCCATCAAGTGAATTAAGCAGCTTCTCTTCTTCTGATGCTGTAAGCATATGATGTTTAATGAGGGCATTGAATGCCTCATAAGAATAAACATCACAATGTAGGGCTTGTTTGTAACATTCAACTGCTAAAGAACGATTATCCATAGCTTCAAGAATTTGACCTTTAAGTAACAAAACTGAAGATTGGATTTTATGTTTAGGGGTGTTATCAAATAAACTTGATTCCAAAGAAGCAGCGACACTGGTGTTTTGAAGTAAAACGTCTACGTCTAACATGTTCAAAACTTTCAACGCTTCATTTAAATCATGGGCCTCCATAAGACACTTCACAGTTAAGTAATTGCACAACACAAACTTCTTTTCCAAATTACGAGATCGTAACAAATGGGCCGCACGATGATATTCCTTCAACATGTACATGCACTGCGCCAAGCAGTAAACATCTTTGGGGTTTCCATTTGTTAGAGCAACAACTTTATCTGCCCAAAACAGTGCTGCTTGGTAAATATGTAAATTGAGATATAATTGAACCAATTGTCTATAATTATCGATATTTACGTTTTGAATATTCAGAGAATTAATATCGCAACCTTTATCTGCAGCCATTATGAAAACAAAATTGTTTTTTAAGTCAAATATGCATCAAGCGTAAGTAATAGAAATTATATATTTTAAGAAATAGACTTAAAATAGGTTATAACCATAGATGTTATAACAAGTATAAGTATAATCCTAACCATACTAAATTACAACAATACATGTAAAAATTACTTACATCCTCTTATATTTTCTTGGTTGCACCTACAAAGCAGATTAGAAAGTTTACACTTTTACATTATCAGTGTACATACGCCTTCTTCTTATGTTTTTAACAAAGACTGACAATGACCGCTACTCACTTTCGAATTATAGGAGTTTAACTGGTTTCAACTTTTTGAAATTTCTATAGTTCTATAGATACTTACACTAATATAGATATATATAGAATATGTAGTGCAGTGTGTAGGGCAAACAGCCGTAAATGACTCTGCTTTATAGGTAGTTAAATAAATAAAAGTAAATTTATTCAAAAGTTAATATATATGACCCCAATTACATTAGGTGAGTTCATACATTTTCTGCGAGATTTCAAGGGGGGGACAGCTCCCCTCCCCTGTCCCCCCACCCCACTGGGTACGCCCATGGGTTAACATTACAGCCCTTCAAGAGCGGAATAATGAGGTAAAGAAAGAGGGAAACAGACAAATATTGGCCGTATGGCCGTTTTTCGCTTTCTAGAGAAGTCAATTTCATAAAGGTATTACTCAGTTCATTCTCTATGTATACAAATGTATTACAATCATTACACACTTAGATACGATCAGATACGCCATAGATAAGAGATATACAGTGGGTTGAATCATAGACGTATATTAATGGACGTGCCTTAGCCGTATGTCGTTGTGATAATTTCATGGTTCGAAAAGTGAGGGAGATGGCGTATGGTTTTGGACTAGTGCTATCTCTTTCATGACACGCTTACGCACTATCGGGAGAGAGATGGATATTGTCCGAAACTTCGTTCCATCTCTTTCTTTTGTTGTACCACAATTCTGACCGTTAAGGCATGTCCATTTGTAAACGTCGATAGGTTGAATAGTAGGTTCCATTAATTGAAACCTGCCATCCAACGGTTGGAATGTATGCAACTTGTCTGTAGGATTCAGTAGGATTCAAGGATTATAAAAACAAGTTGGTACAGTAGGTGTATTATAATATAATATATACTTTTCTTTCCTGTTTTCATTTTTACTGAAAAATATGTAAAAACAAACAGCTGCAGTAATTCAAAAAGAATATTAAAAAAGAGCACGAAGGTGCATCTTCGTATTTATCCTTAGAATTAGTCATAATACTGTACTGGCTTTAGGTAAAATAAAGGTTAGTATTTTGCTTATTATTTAAATATTAACATTTAAATTTTTAACTATCGTTGAAGATGAACGTAATTGCGGCGGTTAAGGCGTATGTAACAAAAATGACCGATGAAAATGAGCCGGGGATGAAAATTCTTTTAATGGACAAAGATACCACAAGCACAATCAGTATGGTTTGTGGTAAATCAGAAATTCAGCAAAAAGAAGTTTATTTATTAGAACGAATTGACAATATTAACGCTAATTCAAACGTGGGGCTGAATTATTTGAAATGCATAGTGTTATTAAGACCAACTCCACAAAATGTTGACTTATTGTCCAAGGAATTGAGGAACCCAAGATATGGATCATATTACATTTATTTTACTAATATTGTAGCAAAGGCAGATATTAAGATACTTGCTGAAAGTGATGAACAGGAAGTTGTAAAGGAAGTTCAAGAATTATATATGGATTATCTAGCTGTGAATCCTCATTTATTTTCTGTGGGCCTGTTTAAATGCATAGATGGATTATCATTTCCGTCACACTTTCTGATAAGAACAGTGCAAAGTTTATCTGCAGTGCTACTTTCACTGAAAAAAACACCTTTGATTCGTTACCAAAGAAAGTCAAAGTTTTGTAAAGAACTAGCACAAAAATTAGATGAACTCATTAATAAAGAATCCTCATTGTTTGCTTTTGGTCAAAATAGTTATCCTGTTTTATTAATACTGGACAGAAGGGATGACCCGGTGACTCCTCTACTTAATCAATGGACATACCAAGCTATGGTTCATGAACTTTTGACTATAAATAACAACCGAGTTAATCTATCCAACATTCCTGGAGTATCCAAAGAGCTTTCAGAAGTGGTTTTATCAGCAGACCAAGACTCCTTTTATGCAAAAAATATATTTTTAAATTTCGGTGAAATTGGCCAAAATATCAAAGAATTAATGGAGCATTTTCAAGCAAAAGCTAAAAGTCACCAAAAAGTAGAAAGTATAGCAGATATGAAAGCATTCGTAGAAAATTATCCCCAGTTTAAAAAACTCTCCGGTAACGTTGCAAAACACGTCACTGTAATAGGAGAACTTTCTTCAATAGTTGCCAAACATGATCTGCTTCAAGTTTCAGAAATCGAACAGGAAATAGCATCGCAAAACGATCATTCGTCTCAACTGCAAAGCATTCGAAAATTGGTAAATGAAAAAAACGTGCGAGATTCTGATGCAACAAAATTGGTAATGTTATATGCCTTAAAGTATCGTAATCATGCCGGCAACGAAGTTCCCGCTTTAATAAAACTGTTAAAGAAAAGAGGCATTTCTAATTTTTTACTAAACAGTATATTAAATGTATTGGAATATGCTGGGTCACATGCATGCGAAAATGATCTTTTCAACGTGGAAAGCGCCGTCAAGATAACAAAACGTTTTTTTAAAGGTCTGAGCGGTGTTGATAATGTTTATACTCAACATAAACCACTTCTGCATGAAACTGTGGAAGAACTTATAAAAGGAAGGCTAAACGAAGACTTATATCCCAATACATCCATTGGTAATCAACATTTTAATGGACGCGTTCAAGACATTTTCGTGTTTATGATTGGCGGAACTACTTATGAAGAATCATATTCTGTTTTTACATTAAACGCAACTTATCAGGGGATAAATATAATTCTTGGTGGAACCACTATTCATAATTCGAAAACGTTTTTAGAAGAAGTTGAAAATGCGGTAAAAAATATTCCCAAAAAACACACCAAACATTTAAGTCACCTTGTAGTCTAATAGTTTATTTAAATTTATTTCCTGTTTTTTGTTGTTTCTGTGAAATAAAAGGTAAATTTAAAATACAAATATCTTTTTCTAGAAACACGAGATGATTTTAATTTTGGTTCAGTTGAAGTGTAATTTACATATGTTTACCTGTATTCCAATTAAATTTAGTGTTAGTATCCTTTTTTCTATGTAAACTTTAACGTGCATTTGGACACAATCTTCTAAAACTTCTTATTGTTCGCCAATAAAAATAATAATTGAAAGGTACAGATTAGGTTAGAGTATCAAATACCAAAATATTTAGGAAAAGTTATTAAAGTATTATTTCCTGTTCGGTCAAATGGAAAATGTTGGTGTTAATACAATTAACGAAGAGGAGGCTTTAAATGATTCTAATAATATAAGATATCCAAGAAGATGTAGACTCTCTGTGACTAACGGTTTAAAAACAAAACAGTTCTGTTTAAAAGAAGAGAGAAGTGCATCTCTCCGAACAGTAAGTCGACTAAGTATTAAATTTAAAGCTATATATGTAGTTCGTAACTTTAGATATCGGCAATATTGCAAAAATCTGAAGAGCAAAGATCAACTGAAGAAGCTCAATTCTTAAATGATTGTTCAGAAACAGTGGAAGAAATTCAACAGCGACGAAGAAGACGTGAAGAAGCAAAGCGGCGCCTAGAAGAAATTGAAGATCCAGAAGACGAACTGTATGAAAAATGCAATAAAATGGCTCAGGCAATGATTGAAGCTCAACACATTATAGTTTATACAGGAGCAGGCATCAGTACAGCAGCAAAAATTCCTGATTACAGAGGTCCAAACGGAATTTGGACCAAACTTCAACAAGGAAAAGACATTGGGTATGTAATTATTTATTATTTGTGGAGTTACAGAGCATTTACAGGACACATTTGCACAAAATTAAATTTTAGAAAACATGATCTGAGTTCTGCAGAGCCAACATACACACATATGGCTTTGTCTCAATTGTATCATCAGAAGATCCTTAAGCACGTTGTGTCTCAAAATTGTGATGGTCTACATTTACGATCGGGTTTGCCGCGTTCTGCACTATCAGAATTGCATGGAAACATGCTAATTGAGGTGTGCAAAAATTGCAGACCCTCACGTGAATATCTCAGGCCATTTGACGTCACCGAAAACACTGCCAGGTTTTCTCATAAGACCATGAGAAAATGTTATTTTTGTAACAGTCCTTTAATTGATACAATTGTTCATTTTGGAGAACGGGGTACTCTATATTGGCCTCTAAATTGGCGGGGGGCATGCAAAAATGCGAAAAAAGCCACAATGATTATCTGTCTAGGTTCCAGTTTGAAAGTTCTAAAAAAATATCCATGGCTTTGGCAAATGGATAAACCAGTGAAGAAAAGGCCTACGCTGTTCATAGTTAATCTACAGTGGACTCCAAAGGATGATTGGGCTTTTTCTAAAATCCATGGAAAATGCGACACGGTCATGAGAATTGTTATGAACACATTGGGAATACATGTACCAGATTATGATCGTAAAAAAGATCCCGTTTTCTTTCACTGGACTAATCTTTGCAAAGAAGAACTTCATACAACTACAAGACCTTTCTTACAAGTCAACGATTCAATGTTAATTCAGGAAAAAGACATTAGTGTCGAGGAAAAGTTAAATATCGACGAGAAAATCAATGTGGAATCATTTTTAAATGAAAAAATTAAGACAGAGCCTGATATTTGTACTGTGGTTACATTCAAAGCGAGACAACCAGAAAACCACGTCCTTCATCGTAATAATTTTTATTTTAATCATTTAATGTTTCCAAATAATTCTGAAATTCATTTTTCAGAATTATATCTTTATCCCTTTTTAACAAGTTACATGTACTCAGGATTACACAGTATTATAACTCCTCCTCCTCTACTGAACAATTTAAAAGAGGAGAAAACTGAATCGAATGATTTCTGCAAATTTTGCTGGAAAGAATATCAATCACCTACTTGCTTATTTTACAGGAAATTCATTCCATTTTTTGCCAGCACAGAAAAGAACGTTGTGTGTTTGTGTTGCGATAATATAACCGATAATGAGTCGGTAAAGAGAGACAATGAGTTAAAAAACTACAGTATCTTAGAAAAAAACCAAAGTAAAACTCGTATTACTGCGGGTTGGTTTGGTAAAGGCTACTCAAAAAATAGAAAAAGAAGAAAAAGTTGATAGCAACTTTTTTTATGTCTCAAACTCCCTTTTGCCCTTTTTTTAACAAAATTTAAATAAAAATAAACCAGTGATCGATCTGCTTCTCTTATTTTCTATCCATTAATAACTTACTTATTTATTGATTTCAATATATATGTACAAGCAGTAGTATATTTTATAGTAATATCACATATACATTTTCGTTTCCTTTTAAATAATTCATAAAATAAAATATTGAAAACTCTACTAATTTTGTATAATTGAACAGGAGGAGAGACTTATACTAATAAACTAACAATATAATAATAAAAAATGTAAATAAAACTTATGATTCTCAAGAAATTTAAGTAAGACTTCCGTACTTTTGTCCTGGAGGCCAAACAGAATGCTCGGAAGGACTCGGCGAAGGTGTTCTAATTAAAGCATTAGAAATTGATTCTTTTAATCTCTCTGTGAACGTTTTATATTCCATGTCGGCATATTGACGACCGAAATTGAAGTCTGCTACTTCCACTATAAACCTAAAATTTAAATAACATTAAATTATTTCAAACAATGAAGATAAACATTTCTAAAACACACCTAGATCTGTTTTGCAGATAATAAGCAATACCAAATATTACAAGAACAATAGCTATGATACTAAATATTACAGGAACAATGATGACAGATAGTTGAGCTTGTTTATTGACTGAAAAAAAAAAAAACAAATTAGAATCTATATATTAATATGTGAAGAAAAACTTGTACCTCATTCTAGGCACATTGCAATAATTAAACTTCATATAGAGGAGTGTAAAACAATAAAGTTTATGTATAACATGTGTTATATATTAAATTATGAAAACATTCGCGAAGTAAATGTGAAAAAAAAACTTTGACAAAAGAAATTCAATAACGTTCAAACTTAAAAATTTAATGAACTGCGGTCGAATTTCGACCAACGGGCGATCACTAGTAATTATTAATTAACCGTTTACTTATACCTTTATATACGGTGATTGTTACCGGCGATATTATTTTCCCAACATCGTTAAAAATTACAATAATTGCAGTATACATTTCGGGACTCTTGAAATAGTGACGAATAGAAAATTCACATTTTTCGGACGTGTCAGGACTAAGACACGTTTCGTTTCCTGTAATGTTGTATGGTGCCTTTGAATAATGCACACAATAATTAAACATACCAGATCCTGTACATTTAATGTTTAAAGATAATATATCACCATGTTGAAGCCAGTTGTTGCCAGTAACAGTTACATTTGACACTCCAGCTATATAACAAAATAATCGATTAGTAAAACTTGTAACACAACTGTAATGTAATTTTTTTATTCTTTTACCTTTCACAGTAAAAGTTCTCTTAAAATAACCGTAAGCCTTTGTGTCATCTGGAGCAATGCTAGTATTTTGACACACGTATGGAATATTAAAAGCCATGTGCTCTGAGACCAATGGCATGCTTGTTTTAGTATTAATTTCGACATTTGCTGCAGATGTAATCAATACATTTGATTTATTAATATTTAACAAACTCGGTGTTATTGAAGAAGTGTTTTGTATTGTTTCTAATGCTGTATTGGAACAACCAGTTGGGTCAAAACTAGCTATAATTAAAACCTCTACGCTGTGGTGTTTTTCAGGTACAGTAAAGTTAAGGCTATAAAAATAACCTTTAGACGGACCCAAATATTGGCAATCAATTAACCAGTAGGTTAACACACATGTAGATGAATTATGCAAATATTCTACATCGGAATCTTTTAAAGCAATCTCAAACAGAATACTTTTATTGCTAGCTAAATAAATGCCATCAACTTCTCTATTGTCTTGAGTTACTTTCAACTTGCCATTTAGATTCTCTGTTCAATTGAAATAAACTATTAATAATAATCATAAGAGTAACATACGTAAATTTATACATACTTGTAAGCTGAAAGTAAATTCTTTCTGATGTAACCACTTCATACATAAAAAATATGCGTTTTTTTACGATTACTTGAGCCTCATAAGTTCCTGCTGGATAATATTTTGAATTATAAGTGACATTCCAGGAATCGGTCTGAGATTTTGTCTCATGCTAACAGAAAAAAATTAAATGGTCAATGTGTCACTTATAATAGTTAAAACAATATTGAACCTACACTGGCTATATTTTGGGGAATTCCATTATCCTCCCATTCAAATAAGAATGATCCAGTAACTGGATTTCCTCCAGAATCGTACAATTTTGCTGTGAAGCGAACCGTTCCACCTACTACCACGGGCGAATCACTGGTTACATTAACTTTATAATTTTCATCAAAAAATGAACCTATAATGAGATTTCACATAATCCTTGTTTTCACTTACATTTCCAGTATTTGAACTTCGTTTTACCTTCCACAATTGAAGTAAGAAAAAGAAAAGTAAACATATACGATGATAACATTACGCTTAGTAAATAAATAATGTCTAATGCACTTATTAGAATAAGTATGCATACAGTGATCAAAAGCACAATGAAATGTTCAAAACTCACACGTTATAAATAAAATCGATTATTTACAATCACAAATAAAAGAAAACAATTAAAATAATCACAAAACATATACATCATTTGTCAAAATATGTTCAAAATAATAGAAACCATAGATAGAAACCATCAAGGTAAAATCTACTAAAATCATAAAAATTTGACAAACGTTTTACACTTTATATATTTGATATTTGCTGATGGTCGTTGTACAAGATTAATCTTGTAAATTATCATTTTAACGCTGAAAATAAGATACACAAATGTTATCAGCAATTAATTTTATTGAAATTTTGGTGAAGGCGCCGGAACTATTTGAAACAAACTCCACAATTAAACCATAATTCCGGTTTTATTACAGTATAAATATATTTATTTCATGTAGGTGTAGTTAGAGATGCAAATTTGCACCTTTCTTTTTACATTAAATTAGATTAAAATTTGTAATATAAAATGTAGACAACCCAATACACAGCAAATATCACAACTAATTACAAGACGTTTCTTCTCATGAAAGTAACTTAATAATATTATTGCCGGCATTTTATAAGAGGTATCAAGTTTGATATAGGTTAATGGTCGTGGTAGGAGGTTAATCATGTTAACCATCCTTTTAAAGTCAAAAATAAGTAGTTCATGAAGATACGTAAACGGTATCAGCAATTATAGAAAATTTTGGTGGAGGTGCCGAGATAATTTAAAACAACGGCCACAATTGAGCTACAATTCCGGTTTAATTGTAGTAAATTTGTAAAGTTTTACTTTAAAATTATATTTTTGCCATGTAGATCATGTTAAGGATGGTAATTTAAGAAACTCTTTTTACAATAAATTAAACTATAATAATTCATAATATAATATATAGACAACCCAACTTGCAGCAAATATGAGAACTAATAAAATGTAACTTCATACAAATGGTTAGAAAACGTTTTTTCTCACAAAAATAACTTTTTTACGTGAAGCTTAATACTTTTCTCGAACAAACCATAAAATTAATCTCTTAGTAATATTGTTGAAAACATTTTATAAGTGTTACACAGTAAATATTACAAAGACTATTATTTAATGTTAATTTTTTAATTCTTGACCTTTTTGCACGAGTAAAATCCGCCAAATTTTAAGTTTTCTTATTTATTAGAATTTAATTGTAGATGCAATTAATATTACAAAATTTGTAATCGTTGGTTCTTCTGCTGATCAAATTTTCCTAAATGTACCTAACTCAATCTTTTGCGGATTTGTACGATTTTGTTTGCATGCAAAAAAAATCAAATTTGACATTCATTGATAATAGCTGTAGAAGAATAATGTTGTAAACTATCGTTTTAATGCCGAAAATGATGAAGATCCACAAACGTTATCAATCACTTAGTGATATTATTCAAGGTATTTATTTGTTGAACTTTATTGAATACCCTTTCACATTTTTGTATCCTTAAATTGCTAAGCTGCATAACTTACATCGTTTATGATTTTCTGTGAAATAATTATTTTATATTTTTTAAGGTTTTTTGTCAATTTTCCAGAAAACTGTCGAGAAATTAAAAAAGCGAAATAAGAGGTGTGCCTTTTTGAAGAAACATTTTTATGTATAAAAAAAGTAGGCATAAGTAAACAATCAAAATGCAAATTATTCAATTTTCAGATAGTGACAGCACAATTTATTAATTGTACATAGACATAAGATTAGAAAATATGTAACCGTCGCGGTTCTTCCGCTGATTAAATTATTCTTTTTACCTAACTCACAACTTTGAAGTTTTTTTATGATTTTCTTTTCACATGCAAGAAATATAAAAGTTGACATTCGTTGGATTTATTTTAATCACCATCGTTCGTTGCATCATATTCTCTGTAATAATTACGTAAAAACGTATAATTATTTACATATTATTACGATTACGCTGTTGCGACGGTAGTAATAAATGTCCTTTGCATCAAATGCAATATGTGCATATGCATCGGATTGGTTTAATTAATAATAGCAGAATAAACATTCGTAGAAATACAGATAACTGAAATAAATAAACAATTATTACAGGAGCGTGTTTTCTGTGGGATCGAAAGAAATCTTTGAAATATTGGAATTGGAATAATAAATAATTTAATAATATTAGTAGAGTGGGTTGACAATGTGTTGAGGAAATGTCACACGATTTATTCAAGAGTATATAGCGTGACTACAAAATTTAATATCGATTTTATTGTTTGGGTATATATATTACTTATCTGATGATGTATTTTCTATTCTTCCTTTTTTAGTTTTAGTCGAAAATTCAAACTCTCCTTTACGAGATATGCTAAAATTTTTATTGTTTTTGATGTTTTGCCCTACTACTTACTGTAATGTGCTTCTTTGCAGTAAATCTTTTAATTTGATAAAGTACTTTATTAAAGAAAGGCATCTGACCCATATTTATATTTTTGACTGCAATATTTTTTTTAAAGGTTTGGATAGAGTTTATTTAGTACGCTTATTAAGTAACTTGCGTTACTTATTTTTTTATTTAGAAAGGGTTAAATTATTTAACGTCTTAGGAGAAGATCGTTACAGATTGTTTGAATACTCTTTCAAATCCAAAACAGATCATTCATTGCATACAATACTAGCAAACATAAAGCGAGATAATAGTTTACAGGGTAATCCAGGCTTTGTGTTGGATGGCGATTGCGCATCTTCAGGTGATTTTTTAATAAAAGTAAGTTTTGGAAAAACAAATATTAAGTAGTCGTATATATTCAGACGATAAAATAGATACAATACTTATTTTATTATCAATTTTTTCAGGCTGGCGAATTTGAACTTTTTAACGATTCCTATCACTGGTTGATAATCACAAAGAAATTTATTAAAAAAGTTTTTTCTAATGTAAATACAAATATAAATTCAAATCTGTTAGTGGCGGAATGCGAATACGGAAACGGAGTTAATGTAAATGTGACGTTGATAGATGTGTACAATGCCGCTTACAAAAAGGGGGGGAAATTAAATTACAACGTGCTAGTAAAAAAATCGAATAATTTTTCATTTAATTTAAAATCAAACAATTACAATAAATATTGGAACCGAAAAAATATGAGTGGCGTTGTATTTAAAACAATTGCAGTGGTAAGAACAGAAAAAAGATTTTTTCATTTGTTTATAGCAATTGTTTATCTATGCAGTTGGTTAATAAATTCGAGGGTGAATTAGAAGAATACATTTTGAAAGAAAATAATTATAGGGTCGATTCTCGTACCAAGTTTCACAGTGTACTTATGAATCACTGCAAAGAAATTTACAATTTCTCGTAAGTTTTATTTGGAATTACTTTTTTGTGAAAGTAGAATAAAAAAAGCACAGCAAAGATTTTTTTATTAGTATGTAAAATTAACTGTGTCATTTCTTTTAGATTAAACTTTAGTTTAACCGATTCTTGGGGTTTTAAACTTGCAAACGGTTCCTTTGATGGTATGACAGGAGCCCTTCAAAGAAAAGAAGTTGACTTTGGAGGTTCTGTATTATTTCTTAAAAAAGATAGAGTTTATGTTATATCACATGGCAGAAGTACTTGGCTCTTAAGGTATGAAATTATCAGCTATAATATATGCAAATTATAATTTTTATTGAACCAAAATAATATCTATCAAATTGTTTTTAGAACCGCTTTTATATTTCGTAATACAAATAAGAAATCTTTCTGCGAGATATTTATTTACCCATTGAATTATTCGGTATGGTATTTGGCAATTTTTTGCGCAATTTTCGTAACGATAGTATTAAAGGCTGCAGTGTCTACTGAAAAACGCATATTAAATGATAATTTTAAAGATAGTAATCATACAGAAACATCTTGGAGTATTCTTTTTCTTTTTACATTGGGAGCGTTTTGCCAGCAAGGTCTGCACCAATATGTCGTATATATACCTACCTATAGATACTATCGATATTTGCTTCATAATTAATTAATAGGGAAAAAGAAAAAATAAGTTAACTCTTCCTAATTTCAGGCACTTCGTACTCTTCACAATTAATTAGTGGAAAATTTGCCGCTTTATCTTTATTCGTTTTTTGCGTTCTTTTTTATCAGTATTATTCTGGAAGCATGGTTTCGTTTCTGTTAACTAAACAGCCAAGCAAAATTAAAAGCACAGAGGACATATTAAAAAGTCCTCTCAAGGTAGCTGTCCAAGACATTGTCTATATGAGGGCCTATTTTGCAGTAAGCTTTGATTTAAGTTTTTATTGAGGAATGAGTTCATTAATACTGTACTGCAGATCTTTTCGGGTTTCATTATATTGGTGTGAGGTTTATTTTCTGCTGACAATGAGTCTTGCAATAGCTGATAATGATGAGCAGTTCAATTAAGTCTACCCCGGAGAAGTAGGTAAGTACATACATAAACTGCTTAATTCCGCCAAAAGTAAAACCCAGACCATCGAAACCCGCAAAGATCAATGGTAAATTAAAAAAAGGTAACTTCATGTGGTCGTCTCGTGAAAGCTTAATAAAATCATTCATTATACGATTCTCAATATATTTCTAATAATTATTATCAATAGGAAACTGTAGATCCTGTTGCAAAAAGACTTTACGACACAAAAATTGCCAATAAAAACAGCATTAATTTTCTGTCGCCGGAAAATGGTTTAAAATTGGTTCAGGAAAAAGGATTAGCATTTTATGTCGAAACGTCGACGGGTTATCCAATAATAGAGGACACATTTACCGACAGGACAGTTTGTGAACTTGAAGAAGTAGTTATGGTACCTTCTCAAACTTCTCATATTGCCACTGTTAAAGGGTCGCCTTTTCTTGACTTATTAAATTTTTGGTAGGTACCTACGTGTTTTTTACTCTATATCCATATGTATGGGTATATCTATAAGCGAATTATCTAGATGGAATCGCTTTATCCACATCGTCCATGTACCTGATTTATTTTAGTATGCAATATTTAACTGAAGTTGGAATTACGTATCGGCAAAGAAAAATTTGGGACGCTCGAAAACCTAATTGCGTTCGAGCTTCTGCCGCGACAATTTCTGTAGTAGATTTGTCAGAAATTTATCCCGTGATTGCGCTTCTTTTCCTGGGAATACTGTCCAGCCTTTTTATTTTATTTGTAGAAATTGTCCATTGTAAGTTTATGAATTAAATACTTAAGACATTCACATATAAGCACATAATATTTAAAATTTATTATTAAATATGTAAATAAAACAATGATAAATAAAAGTAGATGTTTTTACATAATTAGTAAATATACAAATATATTTTACGTATATGAGATGTAAATAAGGGGCCGTGTAAGATTGGGGTGTCGAGATTAAATCGAGACAATCTTGCTCTACAAATCAGTAGAAATATGATACATCCTTATCCCTGTTGACAGGGTTGTTTTGCGGAAGATCCAGCCAGGGTGAATTTGGCTCTTGATGTTCTGGTATAACATCTGTTGAAGAGTCAGGCCTTTGAAAACTAAACGGCCATGTCTATAAAACAAATTGTTAGCCGCCGTTTGATTTATTATTGTAATAGGTACTTATGCGTTAAATAGTATTGGATACTAATACACATTATTAATATAAAATATACATTCATTCTGGTATGTGCGTTTTCGAAAACATGTTATGTATTATTTAACGATTTGTTGGTTACTTTGCAGAATAAAAAAAAGAAATTACTTTCATCTGTTAAAATAAGTTTCGTAATAACTAAGTACACAAAATATTTTTGATTGTCATTCACAATGATCGTTTCGCCATAATCCATGGCTTTTTCAGGTGGAAGAGTCATATGGAGTTTCAACAAGTATCTATCTATCTATCGCCGAAAACTATTAACTTTTTTTAAATAACAATACGATGCGTAACTACGCTTTTATTCTTAAACTCTTTTCTCCGTTTTCCCATTTATGAACTAATAAAAAAAACATACCTATCGAGTAACACTTTTTTTTATTTTTTAATTTAAATCGTCAGCAAGCGGGAATGCCTTGTAAGACTTTTAGGAGGGAAAAGGTATAAAATACCTACGTGTGTATTATATGTACCTATATTAAGTGTATGAATGTGGGTATTTAAAAAGACAACAGCTGGTTACATATGGTAGATTCGGGCCATGTTTAATTATTTCACTGTCTCGACATTTGAGATGTTTGTTTAACTGAAGTGCCGTATGGGTTTGCGCTCTTAACACAAGCAAAACTCAAATTATCCGGAAATAGACCGTCACAAGCTTTTATTTTTCTTTTTTTCTCATCTTTTTTTTTTTGATGGCGGGCACGGTCAAGTAACAAACAAAAACATGCCAAACCTATTTCTACAAAAGTAGAAATGTCGTAAATAACAGAATATCAACAAAATGTAAAATGAATGCATCATATTTTTCCATTTCACACATATGTGCGCATTCATTATTAAATTTTTGATCTGTTTTTCAATTTTTTTTAATTACATTTAATTATTCAGTGGCGGATATGATAACTAAATAACTAAGCTAGAGGAGGATATTTTGGTCAAGATGATGTTGATGTGACGCTTTTCAATAAAAGTCACATTCGGTTTGATTTCCTTAAACCGTTACAATATAATAATTATTTTACGCCGGACCAGTGCGAGTGAAAGTTCGAGAGTGCTAAAATGAATTATGTTTTGTTTCTCCAACAAAACAGGAATTGTTCTGTATCTTCTTATGAAGAAAAAATCCGAATACAAGAACCAAAACAACAGGCAAATGTTGGGGTAAGTGTGTACTGTACCAAACACTATGTATTAGTTTTTATGTGGCTCCACCGTCAGTAAAATTATTAACGATAATAAAAAAACAAAAAGTCTGTACGTTAAAAAAGTGCTTTAGATCGTTAAAAATTTCAATAAAGATTCTAGTGCATTATTAAATATAACACAATAAATAAAACAACTTCACTTGGTGTAATTTTCAGTGTCCTCTGTTTCTCTCTATTTATGGTGTGATCGATAGAAATTTATTCTGGGGTTTGTGTAAGTGTTTTGAATCGATAGATTTTGAATTTAAATTGGTGCAAAATAATATAAAATGGAATAGTTGGTAAGATTTATTAAAATAAAACTTACCAGCGCCAGGGGATGTTTATGCGTGTGCTCGTTACTTATGGGTTGATCCATGAGAATGGCTCGGAGATGGGCAATATAGCTCGTGGCTAGCCGTAAAGTGTCCAATTTCGACAATTTTGTATCAGCTGGTACCCATGGTAGGGTTGTTTTTAATCTGCAAAATGCCTTGCTTAAAACTCTCATTCTTGCTCTTTCTCTTGCGTTCGCCGCATTTCTTTGGGGATGTTTGGCATCATCAAATTCATCTTCTGAATCGGTGTTATCTGACGGCCTTTTTCTTCGAGGCATTATGCATACTAAAGTCTCTTCTTTATTTAATAGGCGCCTATTAAAAAAAAAATGAAAATGACATAGCATTTTCCACGTAAAAGTAATTGTTTTATCTCACCTTTTTTCCAAATCCAAATCAGGCATTCAACAACAAGCTCATCTTAATCGCGGATTATTCACAAAAACACTGATTCTGAGTCGAATTACATTTTTAAAAATAGGAGGAACAACTTAAAGCTCCTCCTTCACAAGCTTTAAAATCCAACCCCTATAAATAGTGCCAGATTTTCGTCCAATCTTCTTAAAGCGCTGCTAAGGTACTTAAAATAAGTATAGCTAGAATAGTAATTCTCCCTTTCACATTTATTTAGATTTGTATTGAATCTTATTTACACACAGAAGCAAGCCAAAAAAGGAGCAAACAGGAACAACTGAATTTTTCGCTGATACATTTATCTACGGATTTTGTATAACAATTGTTTCGTCAAACAAATCAACCAAATGTTATACATTTTTCTTTTTTAATTTGCTACTTATAAGTCCTTAATAAAAATAAAAAATAAACAAAATACCTAGAGAAATATACGCGAAACAGAATCCTTTGCGTTTGTGTCTGTATTTCGAAGAAGCTATTGGGGAAAGAATGACGCAGGAATGGGTTTATTATTTTAGGGTGACTTTTCTGGACTACAATAAAGTCTTGTAAGGAAAATATAATAACACCCCAAAGTGGTTTATTTTCACACGAACGTCCCATTCGCTGTTTATTTGCCTATGACATCTCGCATAATAACCAGATATTTATTTTACTATTATTTTTGTTTCACAAAATATATACAGGCACGACTATGCTCTATCATCGGTGTACTTTAACAAATCTTAACTTTTGTTAAAAGTAAATTTCTTTATTAAGTAGATAGAATAATAAATTACAGAACAATATTCTAAAAGGTGAGTTTTCTATTTATGGTCGGATTTCCGTGTAAAGATCGAGATTTGTTGATTACGTGAGTTTCGCTGGATTCGCGGCTTTCAGAGATTTCTTCCAAATTACTAAAACTTGCAGATCTTTTTGATCTAAAGGGGCGCTGTTTTTTTGACGGTAGTATAAAAAAGGGCGGTCTCTCAAGATAATGACCTGACATTCCGATTTCACTCCTTATCCAAGGATCCTCACCAATCCTTGAAAAATTAATTGAGTAGTGGACAACAAATGCGGATACTATTTAAACTTATACGATTTAATCTTACCACATCAAAAAGTTGGGCACATTATTTTGAAAAAAGGCGCTAGAAATGAATACTCCCATAGGTAATAAAGACAGTAGTGTTAAAGCAAATATGGTAATAAAGTTAAAAAATTTTCCATCTGACCAAAATAAGGAGGTCTTTTTCAAGTTATTCTGAAAATACGTTCATAAACATTAGCCAATACTTTTTAAAGTGATTGCGTTAGGCGTACCCTCGAAATATTGTATTCTAGGAAAATTATACTCCAACGTACTGCTCGAATTAGTAAAAACCACATTCGTATCATATAAAAATATGCCCACTGAAAAGTTAATTCCTAAAAGGGTAAAATATATACATATCTATATTAATTAATTATTAATTTCGCATTATTTTATGCGTATGTACCTATATAGGTGTGTACCTATTGATCAACGAAAATTTTGGTCGATATAAAAAACAATAATAACTTAAGTAACTTATTTATTATGCTTACTCGATAAAACCATGTTTTCCATTTTGTGTGCCTGAATGTCCTTCTGTGGATCAAATGATGGAACAAGAAAAACGAATTAAAAATGAACAGTATGGTTGGAATCACAGATAAGGAATTCTTATCAACTATTGCACTTTCCATTATTGTATTCATAAAGTTATGTTGTAATTTGAGTAAATAGTTCATCATGATGGCATAAAGCGATTATTTTTTTAACTAGAATTTAACCAAACATTTTACGTTTTGAAATATTCGTGACACTTCGAATATGTGACAAAATAACAATTTTTTGTGACGCTACATATTATGATGCATGCACCATAAGCACGTTATTTTTTTCCGTATGAAAAAAAGCAGTAAAAAAAATAAAAAAATCGAATTCTGAACATAAGTTTTTATTAATGACAAATGAAACAAAGTACGTTTTTAATAATAATGAACTTCACATTATTTTATGTTGAAATATGATGTCAAAATGGCTGTCTTCGACATTATACTCAGCGTACATAGGTATATTATAACATCTGAAAAATGGTAAAGTGGCTGTAATTTTACCATTTTTGTTATTTTTTTTTTAAATTTCATACAATTGTATAACGGCTGAATTTACAACTGTATAAGTACTTACATATAAGTAATAACTATATGTAAGTATAATATAGGTACATATGTATAAATTTCGTACGCAGACTTTTTAAATTTATAGATAGGTATCTACATATGGAGCAGATCATGGCTGAAATCTGTCCCACAATTAAATATGTAATATAATATGTACATTACAAAAGAATACGAAATTTAAGGTGCTGTAAAATGTTCTTTTTCGTTACACCACAACACACCTTCAATTTTTATATGAGTTACGGTATTTACATGCAACGTCAAGAAAACCTTATGTTTGCATTAATGCCTAATACCTATAACATGTTAAGTAGGTATGTATATTAAAATTAATTAATTAAACAAGCCATTCCGTTGTGTTACTGTGGAAGAGTTTCGATTGGTAAAACGGTCACACTTCGGAACCTCCGTAGTAAGTTAAGGTGTTGCTGTCAGAAGAATGCTCGGGCATCCACATCATTTTCCATCGCTATTTTGTAAATAGAATATTTATTACAACTGCAATCAATTAAGGCGATTAGTACCTGTTTTATTGTTCCTGGTGTCATTAGAAATTTATAAACTATATACAAAGGTATACAAACGATAGATGAAGCTGTTAGACAATAGCCCACGTTGAAAGACCAGTCGGGATATTTGTACTCGTTGCCTAACATTTCTGCGTGGCCCATTAACGAAAAAATAAAAATTGTCTAGAATTAAGTAATAAACATTTTAATAACTTGATGGTTTATTAAATAACTACGGTTAATTTACCAATAAAAATACTGGACTTATGTACTTCCAACAAGTGGTCCAGAAGATGCCAGGCTTATGGCCCAACATTTTTTCGATATCCCTTGCAAAATTTTCCGTCCCGTATATCCAACAAACACCGGCGGCTTCGAAAAACACCACGAAAAGTATCGCCAAGCCGGGTCCGTAAACGTTTAACATATTAACCAAAAAAACACCACCCTGTGAAATACAATGATTACGGTGAATATACCTGTATGTAGAATGTAGGGATTTAGGGATTTTATCTACATGTGTACATTTTATGCTAATCTTGTATTCATTCTTATTCTCTAATATAAGTACGTATTTTAAGTAAATATTCCACGTACGTAGGTTGTCGTTGGCAAGGCACATATATATATTCCAAATAGTAGAACAGCAACAAAAATTTCTCTATGACGTCCCAAAAGCTTTGGATATTCGTCACACAGTGCCGTTATCATTGCCTCCAATCCTCCGAACGTGCTGTCAAGCCCCAAAGTGATGAGCATTAAAAAGAAAATTATCGACCAAAAAACAGAACCTTTCATGGTTGCTATTGCTTCCGGATATACAATAAACACAAGACCAGGTCCTAAATTTCATAAAATTTTAAGTAAATATTTGCTTGGTAGATGGAAAATTAATAAAACCAACTTGCACCAATCGTAAAACTCACCTTCCAAGCCGACCATTTCGATACTTTTGTTCTGCATGTAAGCCATGTACCCAAGAACGGAGAATATTACAAAACCAGCCAAGAAACTCGTAAGACAATTGATCACGCTTGTTATAATGGCGTCTCGGTAGCAATTGTTGTTAAATTTATTGTAACTGGACAGGGCTAGTAAGGTGCCGAAACCTGGACCGAGCGAAAAGAATATTTGAGACGCGGCATCGATCCAAACTCTGCTGTTGTACAATTTATACCATTCGGGGGTAAGATAGTAGCGGATTCCGTTAGCAGCTCCTGGAAGGGTCACCCCTCTGACCAACAATATTATAAGAACGAAATACGGAGCCAGGGCCGTTATCCAGACAGCCTGTTATACGAAAGGTAACAATTAAATATAGAGCATTATGTCGCTAATTATTACAAGAAAATCAAATTCAAGGATGAGTTGTGCTGTGGAATTGAACTAATCCAAATAATTCCACACGAAGCGTTTAAAAATCCAAAACGCTTTCTCATGCATCTTCGGTGTCGGAATGCGTTTTTAAACGTTTTATGTGGAATTTTTGAGTGAAGTTACTCTTAGTCAGTAATTTATCGAAATTACCAGATGTGGTTGGCGATCTCAAACTTGTTAGCAGGTACTCTTTAGCACACCATAGGTGGTTTCGACAAATCACCTACCAAAGTATACAAACATATATTGTATATAAATAAAAAAGTATGAACCTATTAGGAAACGGTTATTAAACAAATTCACGAATTAATATTATATGTATGTATTATAAATACCTTTCCGGCACTTCGAACGCCTTTCCATAAAGAAAAATAGACCAGTACAAATACCGCAAAAACGCACATGGCCAAGGCGGGTTTTATTGGACCCATACGGTCTAAACCGTTAGATTTGTATTGCTCTAAGACTTCCCTTCTGCGAAACAGAGAAAGAAATTTGAAATTGGAGGAATCATGTCGTCCCTTTTTTTTTTTAAGAAACTCACTCAAAGAATTCCCTGGCGGGACTTGTTAAATTATGTTGGGCGCCAATAAATTTAACCGGTCTACAATCAGGTGTGTTCCAACTGTTATTGCAACGCGTCCATGGAAGTTCTGATTGAAACGATGCCACTAAATAGTACACTGCCCAGCCTATTATGGTATTGTAATACATTCCCATATAAATGTCTATTAGACAAATGGCATACCCTATTCCTGTAATAATCAAAACACCTATTATTTCTCTCTCCAATTTTCTCTGGAACTCTAATTTTGCACGATCGCTTTTTCCAATCATATGTATGTAATATTGTATTTGTACCATACATACGTATGTATGTATAATATACACATATTGTATATGTAATTTGTAGTTACTTAATATGTATGTATGTATCAAATTAAAGGTCTCGACACCGACGTTCTTCGATCATTAATTAAAGCGTAAGTAACAGTACATGCATTTTCGTAAAAATTTTGCGCGACAATGCGCGAATGTTTTCAGGCAAGGGTTTCGCGACTGTCGTATATTGAATACATATTGTGTATCCCAATATCCACAATACATATGTACTTATATGCATCTTAATATTATCGTGATCTCGCGAGCACGATAGTATCAAATGCAAGGTGTCCACGTGTTGAGAAAACCAAGAAACATCGAAAAAGTTAATCGTGGTACTGTCCACAATACAGTACAGGGCAGAGACGTTTCGAGTAAAATCATCGATCGGTCACTCACAGCCGATTTCCTCAGAAATTTGTATCATAAATTTTTCTAGAAATTAATTTTACAAACTTATCATCGTCTTTACGGTCAACTGCGATAGATAACGCTAGCAAACTTACTTTGAATACAACCAATTAAAAGTGTCTCGAATCCAAGTGTGTAAGTACATAAAAAAGTGGCTTATATATATTTTTACATAATTGCTAGAACCAGCTTTTCGGTGCCCTCTTACTACACTACGATCATCCACGTATAAATAGTCCAAATGTCGTACCGAATGATCTTCGCCACTTTCGACAATTGAAGGCATGGTTAGATGGACAACGCTAATAATATTATGTACTTATACGCTTTACCATCAACGAAGAACCCTAGAACGATGCCGTCTTGACGCCACTTCTAATATGAAGAGGGCATCAGAAAGCTGGTGCCTTTGAAAACAAATCCTCCCCGTATTTCTTATGAACATTTTGCATGTGAGTTAGTGTTAAAAGGGTCCGAAAAATTCTGTTACATTTATTACTGTTACCTACTTTTTAAAGGAGGGTTTCGCGTGTTTAACCGACTGGTTCTAATATATTGGCCCTTCTTTTTCCCTCGTGTGTCTTATTTGAAATTGAAATGTTTTGATCTTTATGCATCTCGAGAAATCGAATTGCAACGCGGTGCTATCTATTTTGTCAGAGATAAACCTCTAATGAATTGAACATGAGCCGATCCGGAGCCACTTCTCGGTGAATTGTTTTCTCGAATCCTTTAACTTAACCGGACAATCGTTTTTACGAAGGTGTGAAAAGATTTTCTTTCATCAGCAAGATTTATTCTCTTTCTTCCAATTGACCGTACGTACATACCTTTTCAATTAGGCATTTTCTATTAACTTTGATCAAAGACTGTAGATATATAAATGCATACATGTTACGTGTCTGTATGTATGTATGTATACAGAAACTTTTTATGTACATGTTTAGTACAATAAGTTATTAATATTTTACCATTTTTCGTATTTTAGTAAAATTAAATACCCAAAAATGTCCCGTATACGGGATTTAGGTTAGACGGTAATTTTTAGTCGTAAAATAAAATATTATTTTGGAGCAGCAGCCAATTAACGGTTTTATACCTTTCGTTCCGAATAAAATTAAGTGTTTCGATAAATAATTGTAACGGTCGTATTTAGGTAACAAGAAAAGAGAGAATAAAATGAATCCCTGGACGACGACAGTTCAGAAAAGGACTTTAGCCATCAATGGCTTGGAAAATAGAAGACTATTATCATAGCTTTTGTATTAAAGAAGACGGCTATTTGTTCTACTCCTTCTCGGAAGTTTTTGTTCCTAAACCATTGTTTAACATTTCGATTGTTCAATCAGCTCTATTGATACTAAAGATCAATTTAAACTCGTTGAAATTTTTAAAGAGTTATATGATTTTTTCGTTTATCTCTTTGTATCTTCATTGCTTGCTATTTTACGATTATTTATTATATTTATACGATTAATTAATACACGTGTACATAGGTACGTACCTTTTAATGCTGGACATATTCTTTTCCAAATAGTAAGGCATCCACTTCGATAAAATTGTCCTAGTGCCAATTCCATGTAAAACAACGGAAGTCCGCCGAATATTAACATAATTGTATAAGGTATTAAAAACGCACCTGATGACAACAGTTTCAATTGAGCAGTATGCATTAAAATAATATATTATACATTTCTACGAAAAAGTGTGTATTCGTAAGTATATTTATGTTCTCATATCCGTTGGATAATATTGTGTAAGTATTGTAAATTAGTATAAACACTAAAGAAATACAGATCGTCGTCATCGTTATTATATGTATGTATATACATATCGTTCAATATTCAAGTTGCGAATAGAATCGAATTTGCCAAATTATACTTCCTATAGTACACTACGTATACATATATACATAGCTAGATAGTTAAACCTATTCATTCGTTGGATAAACGAATTTCTCAATCAAGTAACAAGAACGTTATTACGTATATTACGAAAGGCAGTTCAACTTTGGTCTTAACTGATTTTATTAGTAAATAATAAACTGAACATTTCAGAAACGGAAATAAAATTACTGTCGACAACGAAGAATTAAATCGTGCTGTTATTAGGTATACATAGTATACATATGTGAAGATTTTCTTAACGTTTGGACTTGAGACTTTTTACGCTTTCGCAATGTATGCCGATAGAATTGAAATATTCTTTTTTCGATTAACAATTTAATTAATAAGCAAAACGCTTCAATATGTACATATATGTATGTATTATTCTGCGCGAATGTTGGAGAATAACTTGATGTGAGTTATTCTGTATTGTATTCTACAATTTACCTACCTCCACCATTTTGATAACAGATATAAGGAAATCTCCATACGTTCCCCAAGTCAACAGCAAATCCGATAACGGCTAATAGAAATTCAACTTTTTTGTTCCATGTTTCTCTTGTTCTTTCAGGGGTAAGGGCGACAACCACCACTCTGGTTGCGTTATTGTCTTTGTTCAGTTTATGATTTTTGTCGCTGTTATTGTAAGTCCTTTTGTTGACTGCTTGGTCCGCTTCCGGTTTGGCTTTCTCATTTTCGCTGCTATTTTCATCCGCGTTCTGATGTTCCTCATTTGTAGACATGACGATTTCCAACCGATGTTATTTTACCAACTTAAACTGCACTCTAATAAAAACATACACCTAATCTTATTTTTGTTCTACATTTAGGTAATTAATTAATCAATTAATAGTATACAAATATTTGTCTTCTTTTGTATATCATTTGCGAAATTTATAAAAATGTAGGAAGTAGATATTAAGATTCTGAATGCGTAACCTAAAGAAATTATAAAAAACGGATTTTATTGCATACCTAGATGATAATGCCTAAGTAACAAAATTGATCTTTTATTTCGTTTCGTAAAACGTTCAAACAACCTTTAACATATAACATTATCGTTCGAATTTCAGTTTTTATCTGTGTGTACGCATCAACGGCGGAAATTAAATCCATTGCTGGTTTGCAACCCCAGTATGTACGGCTGATAGCAGTGGATTAGAGTCAATTCTTATCTTTTCAACAGCATCAACGAGAACCGTAAGCTTATCAGTTTACAAAAGATAAGGATGTTTCTATGCGTATTTTAAAGAAAATCCAAAAGAAATCGTAACATGCATTTTCACGAAATCATACGTTAAACCGATAGGCACACTTGTTTATATACTCGATGCTTAATACCTTTTTTAGTAAGGACATTTTTCCGTTTATTTATTTGTGTTATAAAGACTGAGATTTTTTTTGTATTCGGCGATTTGATCTTTCAGGCGTAGTTACAGTGCAAAAAAACTATACACGGGGAATTAATAAAAAGAACAATGAAAAACATCACGGAAAGGTTTGCTCTTCATTCTGAATTTTGCGTGATTTTCTTTAGATTTGTACAATTCCAAGTTTAAACTTTGAAGAGTCGTGCTTTATTAGCATCATTTGAAAGAATACCTACATCAGTTCAAACAGATTCGCTCACGACAATGCGACGCCGACGCACTGAAACGACGATTCTTTTTTTGTGTTATAGAAAAAACAATAAAATTTTCTTTTGTCATCGTTAAGGTGGGTATCTAACACTGTTATTTTTAAATTGTTGCATAAAAATTTGTTAGTACTTGTTATTACTCATTTATACTATAGGCAATGTATTGTACAATATTCAGTTCAAAAAGGGGTATTAACTGTAGCCATTAAGGATTAGCTAATACATTATATTTACAACCCACTAAACCAAGTGAATAATAGTAAAAGTTAATAGAAAACATTACTTGTTATTCAAAAGGTTTAGCTATGGATATATAAAAAGCAGTTGGAAACTGCTACGCAGGACGAAATTTTATGTTTTTGTCGCTTATATTACATACACTTTTAATACCCACATCAAGTACCTAATACGAAATTTTTCCCTGCTAATAAAAAATAAATTACTTACCTGTAGGTACTACATGCAGTAGCAGAAATTTTAGGTAAATCGTAAACAAAATAAATGTAATCCATATAAGATAACTTTTTTATTAAGCAATTTCTTTATTACGTGACAGTAGTTATCAGATAGATAGTATTACATTCACTAAACACAATTTAAAGAAAAAAAAATCCTTTTAGAGTAAAACGAATTTTTTTGCCACTTCTCGTTCGCGAGAAAAACCTTCCAAAAGCTGGATTTGTACATATTATTGTAGAAGAATTCGTGACTTCAAAGACTTTTAAAGGATATATAAAGTCTCTAATATAAACTTAAAGTGAATCTTATTTGACGACTCTCGGAAACAAACTGAAGAAACGATTTTCTTAAATATAAAGATTAAATAAACGGTATCTAATACGAAAAATAGTAGGTGCTTACAATCTTATAGTCTTCGCAAACAGTGGGCTGTACGAATTTTTTATTTTCCTGCTTATGATAATAGCCGTATATACATAATAATGTTATTTCAAGTGCCTATAGTTATTCCTTTCAAAAATTTCAGTAAGCCATTTTTTTCACTTTTAAACCAAAAAGTGTCAAGGACGCGCCACTAGCTCTATTAATAGAAATTCATGGTAATTAATCAATGTACCTATAAAGTCAATTGACACGCAAAGAAAGTTGCGACAACGACGCCATATCAAATAAGTAAGGATTATTAAAGAAACTTCATGACTGCCTAAAATTAATAAATTGAATCGATATATTATAACATTTTTGGGTAAATAAAGGAAAAAGGAAAACAAATTAATATAAAACGTCTAAATAACTTGTTTTTTATCGCGGATAGTTTCCTTTATACCGCACAAACTGTTTTTGTCTGCTTTTGGGGTTCAATTAAAAAAAAAAAAAATAATTTGTTCTAAAAACAAAAATTGAACAAAAAGCCTACTTTAGTTTTTTTTAATGGTTTGTACAATTATCATTGTTTTCGTTACTTAAGTATTTATTGTATTACATAATACGTTTTTTAGTTTTTTTCGTAATTTAATATTTTCTTAATTGAAAAAAATACAAATCGTACAAGTAAGTTTTTGGATAATAAATATAAAATTTTAAATTAAATTCGGGGATTCACACCGTCAGAAATGAATAGAACATCGCAATGTGTGACAACAATAACTTCCTCAGTTGAACTGATAAGGGAAACAATGGAATGGTTCAGAAGCTGCGACCAACATGAGGGTCAGCAATCAATGTTAAAATAATGGTAACATATAACAACCTTTTACGATACGATTACCTTCATGTGCGGCTGTGATCTGTCAGGTGCCATGCTCAGCCGCGCGTAAACTGGCACTATTATGGCGAGTTTGGCGTCTGATCAGGACGATATCACATTGCTCACTGCGCTTCACCATGCGACATTTATCCCTCGGGACTCAAGAGAGTCTTCGCTATCTTTTCTTTACGCCACATTTGTTAAGCGCATACGCTCAACTTCTGCTTTTATTCATCAACTCTTCAAATTGACCACGAATCCTCTCGTTTAGTGCATTCAGTCGACTAATGGCAAACGAAGCTAATAATGTACTTTTCAGAATGTTCCATCTATTAAAAATAAGAACGAATCAGTTTTTTTTAGAGTAACTCGAAATTTGTTTCATACATTCTTCATAAAAATATTAATTATCCAAATAAAATACGCTGGCAAATCATTAAAAAATGTAATTATTAGTGTAATTACTTAGTTACTTTTTTAACTATCCATAAATTAATTTCATATTAAATATATGTACGTATATATATATATATGTTAATATACATACATATGTATATGTTTTATAAACATACAATTTGTTTTTGTAAAACAATTCGCCATTTTATTCGATTGTTTTGTGTATACTTCTATTATTGCGTTAAAATGAAAAACTTATTTTAACAATCAATGTCGATTTCAGTCATATTTAAATTTGGCGCGTTTTGTTTACTTTTCCGCACATGATACTTTAGACATATTTTTGTAAGGAGCGCGTCTGTAATCACAATGAGAAAACAGCTGTGACGTAACAAGATGTAAACTGTTGTGTTTTTATCTATGGTTGTGTTGTTGTGATGTGAATATTTCAAAATGGCTGATTGATGTTAAAAATAAAATAAATAAGATATTACATTGAAGATATATAATTTAAAAGACTTATTAACCGTCTAGTGAATGTAAAGAGTATCCTTTATTATAATCAATTTGACCTGAAATTATTATAAGGAACACTATTTTATTACGGTAAGTTTCCCTTGAAGTTACATACATCCTAGAATTCATCAATGGTTGATCACTTTCAATGTTTCAATCATGCGATGTTTCCAATTTAGCGAAAATCAAAGGTTCGTTTATTGCTTGAGATTAATTTGGTGTTTGCAAAATACTTTAAATTCCTTAAATACATTTTATTCTTTATATTCAATTGCAGCTAATACTTGGCTACTTATTAGGGTGTTACAAAGCTATATTTTTTCTTTATCTAAACAATTTTGTATTCATTACAAGATAAGAGTTTAGATTTAGATGTTATAAGCATCGTTATATGATTTTATATGGGATTGTATTAATACAATGTACCTACTGTTACTCGGTTTTGAAACTTTATCCTATGAGAGACGATTTTGTACACCAACTGTTTAAATTAATAAATAATAATAATGGTTAATACATAATTTTCAATTATTGATATTCTCTAAATAAAAGCAAATAGTGTTATTTTTTATTCCAGCAAATGTCTGTATTTTAGGTAATATGAGTGATTCTAATAGTCAAGAGTTGTCTGATAAAAGCTTATCAGAATTTGAAAAGGAACTTGAGGAGGTTGTAAGGGATGTTGATATTGAACAATCAACAGACAAAGTATCAAATGTGTTCACAGCAAGTGATAACTATGAAGATGTTTTGAAAATTGACGAGAACAAAGTTACTCAGTTAATGGAAAGTGCTAATAATTTTCAAGAAGATGCACTCAGTGGTGTGTCTATTGAGAATGTTAGCAATACAAGCAACCAAAAGAACTTGGAACATTCAATTGGGGCAGTAATAATTCAGGAGAAAGTAAATGAAAATAGGACCATATCGACGTTAGAAAATAATGTTAATGCTGAAATTAAACAAACAAACCATGTTGAAGTGGAAGAACATACAACTGCTTTTACAGGAAATAAAAATGTTCCAAATGTTGCAGAATCTATTGATGATTCTGATCCTTGCCTATCATTGGATCGCAGTGGTAAAGACTCCTCATCTATACCAGAAAAGATTGATAGAACCATCAACAGCATTGAACCATCATCTGAAAGTAATACAACTGTAAGTGAACCGTGTGTGTCTCAAGAGGAGCATTTAAATGTAAACGATATTGAAAGTGGAAACGTTGAAAATGATCAAGTAGTTGAAGCAGTAACGGTAATTGACTCATCGGAAAATATTGATATGCGAGAAGAGGACCAAAAGCAAGAATTAAAAGATGAAACAGAAACAGTTCATGAGATATTCCACAACGAATCCGCAGAAGTGGTGATAGTAAAAAGTTTTCTTAATTCTTCTACTGATGAAGGGTTGAATGTTGAAACTCATCATGGGTCAGAAATAGTAATTATCAACGATTCTGAAATAATAAACACTTCTGAAGAAAATGCCGAGATAATTACAGCAATTACAGGCTCCCAAACATTAAATGAACAAGAAGACATTCAATTAGATTATCTAGAGGACAATTCAATCCACCAAGAGAAAGAAGATGTTAATGGGATTATGGAAAATGAAGAGTCACGACATTTTTCAACAGAAATCGACGGAAATAAAAAAATACCTTGTCATGTACTAGGCAGGAATGTAGTAAACCCCTCCATTGATTTAGCGAGAAAAGGAAGAATGCCTCCTAAACCTCGTCTGGGTGTAAAAATACCTTATAGAAATTTAACCAGTCAAATCGTTTCGAAAGACGAAATTGCAGAGGAAATTATGGAGAGGTCTAGGCAACGTAACGCGTCGCTTCCGTCGTCAAAAGATATACTATTTGCAAGAAAACTAACCCAACGACTGGCAAGCAAGTTAGCAGCTGCTGAAAGTTCCGCTGTAAAGAAGGAATCTCCGTCCACATCTTCTGTAAAGGAATCTGTAGAAAAAGGTACGAAAATGGAAAAACCGACTGGAACTTCTTCAGAAAAGAAGAGTCTCGCCTCAAATAACGTAAAAAAGGAAAGAATATCTGATAACTCCGATTTACTTGCAATTTTGGAAGGAGACGTCGAAATGGATTGGCCAGAAACAGATTCTAACAAAGCTGCATCTACCAAATCTTCCAAAACTTCTGTTCAAGGTAAAAATAATATGCACGGAAACTTCCAAAAGAATGAAAATAAAAGCGAAAGTGCATCCAACGGAAGTAGTATGGACGGTGATGATTTTATTACTGAACCAAAATTTTCTTCGTCTCTAGTAACCAAAACATACACAAGAAAGCGCAAATCATCGGGAGACGCGGTCCCGACAAACGTTACATCCAAGAAACCCGTAGTGACAGAAGAAAAACCTTCAGTTGAACATAAAGTAAGCATAGATCTTGCTCCAAACACATACATCAGCAAAAGCTCTCGCATAGTAAAAAAGAAAGTCATTTGGGATCCCGACGAAGCAATTCCCATGTCTACATTTGCAATTTCCAAATCAAAAATCGAAACAAAACAAGCCACTCCTGTGAAAAGTAGTGACAAGAAAATTGTAAAAACTGAAAAACCCAATCCTACAACTCTATTTTGTGTCAAAACATCTCCTGATAAAAAACTTCCCCTACAAGGCAAACCCCATCAAGTATCTGAAGAAAAATTAACTAAAAAAGCTCAGAAAATCGCAACTGAAAAAAGTCCTGCAAAAAAGCTAGACACACAAATCGATAAAAAGATCGACGGAAAAATTTCCATTGTCAATGAAAACTCTGAGAAAGTTCAGTCTAAGAAATCCCCGTCGTCCATCAAGAAATCGCCGCTTAAATCTAAGCAACACAATCAAGCCCACAAACGGCGATATCTTTCGGAAGTTGATAAACTGCTGATGGACGAAGGCGCAGTGAATATGTTGTACGCAGTTAAAAATACCGAAGAAAGCGAGAGTCCGTCGAACAAAGTCAAAGGAAAGAAAAAGAATGACGTGTTTTCTATCGATAATTTTCACCAAGAGCTCCTGGACAAAACGAACGAAATCAAGAACGATCTTCAATTGAACAGCAGTAAAGAATCTCCAAAATCATTACGGAAAAAGGATAATTCAATTCCAATTTTGAAAAGGTCCGAGGTCGTTGGACCTACCGGGATACCATTAGCACGCAAAAAATCAAAGGATTCCGTTAGGAATTCCACACAGAGCCCTCCATCCTCCCCTGCCTACACTTATACAGCCGAGGCTTCCAGGATCATCCGAAGACACTCGAGCAGTTCGTTTTCTAGTGTAGGATCGCACACAGAAAATGTTAATGACGAAAATAAATCGGTGAATGGGGCCTCGGCGTCACTTGAAAAAACGGTAAAACATAAAGTAGCAATAACTGCGGAGGGCACCAAAGCCAAGAAAGTTAAATTGACAAAGGACCATACAAATTCAAAAAAACAAAAGCAAAAGAGAATTGACAAAATAACTACGAGCAAAAATGATGAAAAACAAGAACAGCAGAGCGACGCAGTAACTACTGACGATGAATTTCAAGCTATTACTCTGAAGAGATTCGACGACGTGGTACAAATTGTTTTGTCCTCTTTGTCGGACCATCTCAGCGAAACGGTGAGCGGATTTTTTGTAGCCCACCATTGCCACGCTAATTAATCACTACATTTTTTTTTCATATAGATCTTAAACGAGTTAAGTACCGTGTTAACTAAACTCGGTAAAGACGACGCTTGTACTACAGTCGTCCTGTCTTCTTCTGGCACCTGTTTTTCTCAAGGAATTGATTATAATTTGCTCATTGAAGAAAATGAAAATCAACGAAAACTGGTAGCAGAAAAATTGGCTCTTTCTGTAAAGTAGGTCATTTTTTCTACTTTTTTGATCATCTGTACATTTTGAGTTTATTTTATAGAGACTTTCTAAAAACTTTAGCTGCCTTTCCAAAACTCTTGGTAGCAGGTATCAATGGAGACGCGATGGGCCTTGCTGTTACCATGTTGCCTCTGTTCGACATTGTTCTCGCGAGCGATTCGGCAATGTTCAGTGCACCGTATGCTTCTCTGGGATGCACCCTGGAAGGTGGCATGTTGTTATCTTATTTGCCCAACGCGATGCATAACGCTCTGGTAAAAAACTTGCTAGCCTCAGAAAATTAAAACATTCCTCAAGTGTTTCGTTTTTTAGACCAGCGAATTGTTCTTTACATCTCGCAAACTAAGTGCATCTGATGCCCTAAGGTTTGGACTCGTAACCCGAACATTGTGGCCAGATAAGTTTCACGACGAACTTGTATCCACTCTTAAGACTATATCGAAACAATCACCACAGGTAGTACTCGTTACTGTTTGTTTTTATTTTTATTTTTTTTTTTTATTTATTTAATGATACGCGAATGTTATGAAAATCTGTTTTTCGTTCTATCATTTAGGGGATTATGTCTATCAAAAAATCGTTGAGGCATCAGCTTTTATCGAACATTGATACACTTCTGAAAATAGAGACCGACAGGTTGGCAGAGCTCTGGGCCAGTGAAGAATGTCAGAGTAAATTTAAGGAGTATTTAGTTAAAAGAAAGTGAGTGTATAATGGTAATGGTTTTCAATAGATCAAGTTTTATGATTCGGAAATATGATCCCTAAGGGGAAGACGATTAAAAGGTACAAACTTTTATATTTATAAAAAAAAAAGTAATGTAACAGGTCGATAAAAACGTACGTTTTAATTTCTTTTAACTCAATACTTTATTAAAAAGTATTTTCTAGACCTTAACATTAAACAACAATGGTAATTTTATGAATAAAGGTGGTTGTTTGTCTGTATACGAAAGGTGGCAACAAATACTGTCTTTAAATGGTACATAAAGTAATTTTTCGTTTTGTCTGACCGTTAAAAATTGTTTCTCTTAGATTTAATGACGAAAATATCAGTAAAATTGTTTAAACATTAATTCTTTCAATAATAATATGTGCCTTTTCTGTAAAATATTTCTTAAAATGGAATTTTTCAATCTTCAGTGTTTTCTAAACAAAACAGAAAAGATAATAGTGATTTTTTTCTATAATACTACTACTACATTTTTTACTTTTTTTTTGACGATAAATTTTTAAACACGTTTATTCGTTTTGAAAATTTTGTTTTTCTCCTAAAACTTTTTATATTAGCCGGACATTTTCTTAGAAAGGTGTATTTTTTCTGTAATCCTCGAAACGAATGTCACCCTATCAAATAAATAAAATTATTCTAATTTAAGTATTATATCCTGGCAGTTCGTGTAAATATTTATGTGTTTGATAATGATAATATTCTCTTATTAAGTAAGATCTAATTAAGAATTAGTAAACATTCATTATTCATTCAAGTACGTCTTAAATTATCCGGTAGGGTTTAAATAAATCTACAGAAATTTTGTTGTTCAAGGTACAGGCTTAACAAAAATAATGGTCCAAATCGTACAACATCGTAACACACAAAATAATCGAAATTATTTGGTTAGTTGTTACACGTTGGTATGATAGAGTCACTATTTTTATAATCAGCCGTACACTATATTTAGTTTCAATGTGTTGTATGCAGCACATATTTTATATTTTAGTTACTATAAGTATACAAGCAAATATAAAAAGAAAATATGAAAATAAGTACTGTACTGTCGTTTTGTTTGTTTTTTTTATTTCTTTTTTTTTTACTAATAGTCATCATTAATTTTCGTGCAATAATGAAATTTTATCCGATGTTGGGACAAATAATTATGTAATTTTTAGTAAATGTAAGAATACGACTCTTTTCCAGGTTTTTTAATAAATCGATCTATTACAAAGACAGCTGAAATTTATATCTTTTCGTATAATTTAAAAAGTTCTCTTTTAAATATAAATGTAAAACATTTTCAATTTATAAATGTTGGAGAATTATTAATTTTTAATTAGTACTAATTGGATAATGGCTTCTTCATGTAATTAAATGAAGCTAAAATAAAATAAACAATCGAAAAAATACAAATTTATTAAAGAAATAAAACTATTATGCTTTTTAATGTTTGAATATTTTAGAGTTTTACTTTACAATTGTGCGGCTTTTAGGTCTTTTATCCAGAGTAAATTGTCAATTAGTTCGCATCGTGGTACTTTAAACACTTCCATATCAATCCATAACTGTCTATGATTGCCATGAGTCTATCTACGGCGCCAACATGTCATCACCGTGTCTATGGTTATACCCATATTTATAGTGTAGTGATATCATCCATTACCCTTTGTACATCGACGTTAATAATGGACATGCCTTAGCAGTCAGAATTGTGGTACAACAAAAAAAAGAGATGGAACGAAGTTTCGGACAATATCCATCTCTCTCATGATAGTGCGTCAGTGTGTCATGAAAGAGATAGCACTAGTGCGAAACCATACGCCATCTCCCTCACTTTTCGAGCCAAGAAATTATTACAACAACATACGGCTAAGGCACGTCCATTAATATATGTCTATGCCTTTTTATATCTATTATCTATGGGATAACATCTGAAAGTATAAATGTCTACCGCTGATGTCGAACAGTTGAGAAAATTTGTATTTAAATCGAGAGCATCTGAAAATCATGAAGAAGAGAAATTAGAAATAATCATTCCTGAGGTGAATTATAGTTTTTTTTTTATTTTATGTACGGGCTTTACATACAATTTAATATAAACAAATGTCAGTGCATTAAAGAGCAGTATAACACTATGATTAGGTAATAAAATAGTGTGGCTTTAGATAACATTACATTACTAATAGTAACATCTACAGTAGACACTAATTGAATGTATAGCTGTTGATTTAACATCAATTTTTTTAAGATCGTTATTCAGTCTGAATACAATTAAAAAAGCAATATCATTATCATGAGACCAGGTCTTCTATAATAGACTCTTCCTTCAAATGTTGCAGAGTGATTTTCTAAAATGAAATTTAACCCATTACTTTCATTTTAGAAATATTTCTTTCTACTTATTGGTGTTATTAATCATACATGGCTTTTTTGTATATAAAAATGTTAACATTTATGTATAACTATTGACCACTTAGAAATTTCTGCTGAATGCTTTTTGAAAAATAGTTGTAAATAGATGCAAATTTTGTTTTTCCTGATTTTAACCTAAATTAAATTTACCGTTGTGCACCCACATATAAGTAGTTGACCAGTAATCTTAACAAAATTAATGGAAAAAGTGAACCTGTTTTGTTTCTTTTTTTAGTTACTGCAAGCTAGTTATTCATTCTATACGTGGCCTTCAGCTCCTATTCTAGCTTGGTTCCTTTGGGAACATCGAAAAGAATTAGTTGGATTACATGTGTTAGAGTTAGGATCAGGCACAGCATTACCAGGAATTGTTGCATCTAAGTGTGGAGCTGAAGTTACTTTAACAGATTCAATCACTCTTCCGAAATCATTAGCACACATAACACGTTCGTGTGAATTGAATAAATTAATTCCAAATCAGCATATTCGCATTGCAGGACTCAGCTGGGGACTTTTTCTAACAGAAATAAGTTCAATCGGTCCTGTCGATTTAATTTTGGGATCCGACTGTTTTTATGAACCGTCAGTTTTTGAGGATATAATTATCACTGTTTCTTACTGTTTAGAAGAAAATCCGAACGCAAAATTCTTGTGTGCGTATCAAGAAAGAAGTTCAGATTGGTCAATTGAGCATCTACTTGTAAAGTGGAATCTTAAGTGTAAGGTGATAAATACCAGTAGTTTGGGGGAAAGCGCAGGTGTAGACATTAGAGATCTTGTAGGTGATCACACCATTCACTTACTGGAAGTAACTAAATAAATTGAAATGGCATCATCTGCTGCCAGAAATTTGTTTAAAGTTTATGTCGGCAACCTTCCTTGGACTGTAGGACATAACGAGTTAAAAAATTATTTTAGCAAATTTGGATATGTAAACAGTGCTGTTGTATCGTTCGATAAGAAAACTGGACTTTCTCGAAACCACGGCTTTGTAATTTTCAGTACAAAAGAAGGCTACGAAAAAACAATTAATACTTCCGACCATAAACTCGAAGGAAATATTCTAAGAGTGCAGCCCACCAATAATAATTAAAAGAAATTACATGTATAACACGTAGAAACATGGCAGATGACAATTTAGATGATTTAATAGAATTAAATTCTGAAAACGACGATTTATCTGAAGCTTTTACCAGAGCTGCAGATCACCTGCAAAAAATTGCTACTAAAATAGATAATGCAACATTACTGTCCTTGTATGCATATTACAAACAAGCAACCAATGGTCCTTGTACTAGTTCAAGACCAGGTCTGTTCGATTTAAAAGCTAAATCTAAATGGGATGCCTGGAAAAAATTGGAAAATATGGCAAAAGAAGAGGCTAAAACATTGTACGTTAAGAAAGTTTGTGCATTAGATCCGCAATTTTCAAGTGCTACAGTCCCGACACAAACTAAAAACAATTGGGTGTGCATATCGACATTACAACAAACAGAAGTAATAGATGAAACAGCAAAAACAGTTGTTGATCACGTTGTTGAGGGAAATACGGACAAACTCGAAAATATTCTGAAAACGATGAGTAAGGATTCCATCAACAAGTTGGATGATAGTGGACTGGGTTTAATCCATTGGGCGGCCGATCGTGGTTCTTTAGATACATTACGCTTACTGATATCATTAGAGGCAGATATTAATTTGGAAGATTGTGAAAAACAAACTGCTTTACATTACGCCTCAAGTTGCGGACATTATAATTGCGTACATTTTTTGCTAGAAAACGGTGCTGATATGAATAAAAAAGATATAAATGGCTTGGAACCGCTTTCTGTAGCAGCTGATAAAGATATTGAGGAGATTTTAAATAAGTTCAACTTTATTTAATTTTTTATCTGGTAATGTAGTCGTTACGTAGTTTTCTGCCAGCAGGAATAGATGATCAGTTGAAAAAACGGATAATTTTTTTATGCTAATAACTTCAAAAAATCTATTTGAAATACATAACTTAATACAATTAAATCCGATCTTAATTAATAATTTCAACTTTAGCGTTTGTTTATCAAGTTCAAATACAAATTTCTCAGAACTTCATTACTTCAGTTCTTTTAAAAGTTACCGATTCTTGATTATTGAATTAAACCGACTCTTTTTGCTGTACAAATTTTATTTGACTGCTTCATACACAATTAGTCATTATTGCAATAAATACTACCATTCCTTCTCTTAAACTTTTTGGCTGTTGGTGAATCAACAGGCCCTTGAAAACCATCCGATTTGTTCACCTTTTCCATACTTTTTTCATAATTGTCTTGGCCCATGCAATCTGAAGATCCGGCTAAACTTTCAAAACAACGCAACTGTTCGTCAGTTACGTTAACTTCAGAGCTACTGTTAATTGGATCGGGAAGAATTATGCTTTTCATTGAGGTACAGTTTATTAGATTTTCAGACGAATCTACATCCATATCACTTTCCATATCACTCCAATTCCCTGTCAAATCACTTCCACTTAAGACAGAGTTTTGTTGATCATATTTTGTTAAAACAATTTCTAACGGATCAGAAATTCCTAATCTCTTACAAAAGTGAGTTGTTTGACTATTTCGGTATAATTTAGGAAGTTGAGTGGCCATTTCTTTAGTAATTTCGTTTTGAAATGGTGCAGTTTTTGTGAAGTTTTCAGGTATTAAAAGGTCTCCGTTCAACTTAGATAAAACTATTTTTTTTTCCTCTTCTGTAGGTGTAAATTGCCATCTGATTTTAAATATTTTAAACAAAATTATTTTTTAAGACAGTATACTTAATTTTTACCTTTCATTAGATGTAGGACCAGGCATGAATATACTGGAGTTTTTTACGTGTAATAAATGATTCGATAAAAACAGTACAGTTAACCATTCAAGATCATAACTCAATTTTATTTTTTTTTTATCACTGTGAGGCACGTCGAATATTTGTAAAAATTTTCTTTTTGGCAAACACTTATCTAAAGCTAAGAACTTTGTTACTTTCTTATCCTTATGAGAAATTAATGCAGCAAATTTGCAATGTAAATGTGCAGAAAACCAGTATGTGGGCTTTAAATCTTTTAGTAACTCCTCACACGGTTTATTTCCCAATTTTCCAGACTCTATATCTTTCCTAGAATCCATTATTTTTTACATTCATTTCCTTCAGTAAATATGCATTGAAGACCTTACCTTAAAAAAGGTTTTATTTTATTGAGTGAAACAACATTTCCGTATTCACAAACCCCAGCGGGCCATTCATGAGATAAAAAGATATCTATGTTAGAACTTAATTGTTTTAATCTAAATATATCCACTTGACGAATGTGATAGACACTTCGGATGGAATTGTTATCATAAGGAATAATTTCATAACGGCCTTTAAAATAATCGTTACCTTTGTATATGCCGGAAATGCCACCTATCCTTATTCCTAAAAGTATTTATTTATTTATGTGCCACAATTACATATTAAATCTTAGTTTTGGTAATTTTTTACATTAGTTGACATTGGAATTTAGACATGAAGTTTAGTGAGGTAGGTAGTACTCACCAAGTAAAGTAGTGTGGTAGTATTTATCAGAATATTGTTTATTATTTCTTTAAAAATGAATGTGAGTGAGATAGAGGCGTTTAAAATTTTCTTAATCGGGGGAAATTCCGGTAGGTACGGCCCTGGCTTCAGCCTTCCGTCAGCTGTTCCCGCCAAACATCGTTTGTCCTAAAAGATATCCTTCTAACATTATTCTAATATATCAGCCCGCCTTCGGCGAGCAGGGGCATTGGACATACTCGAGTCTGTCATAAATCTACCTAACTAAACAATGACATCAATGCATATTTGGCGAGAACAGCTGACGAAGGGCTGCAGCCATGGAATTAATACTACCACACGATTCTACTTGGTGAGTACTACCTACCTGACTAAACTTCATGTCTCAATTCCAATGTCAACTAATGTAAAAAATGACCTTAGTTTTTATTTGCTTTTGAGTATTATTACATTTTTATTTTAGAGTGGATTTTTTTTTTAATTAACCAAGCTACCTACCATTCACATTTATAACACCACAATAGCCCAAATAATAAATATTTGGTGCAACCCAACCACCATAAGGTAGTTCTTGTAAATAATTGGATGCCTCGTGATTTCCTCCAATAAATATTGTTAAAATTGGCGCCTTCTTTTCGCCATTGTAGTATCTTCAAAGTTTCATGCATTACTTATAGTTAATAAAGTAAAACTACCAAATTAACATCACTTACTGATAAAACGAACCTAGATTATAATATTTATTAGGTATAGCCATACATCTTAAGTCTTGTTGATTCCTGGTTGATTGAAAATCGCCACAACATATTAACAAGTCTACTTTAATGTCTTCTGCGTCTTCTATAAACTTTATAGTTTCATAAATAATCTCCAATTCACCATGTGCACAACCTTCGACGGCTATTTTCATCACTCCTTCTACTTAAATATACTCTAGGATCAGTAATTTATTTATTTTTAAATTAAAAGGCAACTTTTTTAATAACAACACACAAACTACAGCGCTATTTTGACAATTGGACCCATAGATAAACTGGTCAACCATACATTAACACCATAGATTATGGATATACATTCACTCCCAACCAATGGTTTAAAGATAAATTTGACGACAATGCACCATGTTTTCTGTATAATAATATACTTAATAGTGAAAAATAATAAAATAAGGAAAGAAGGATGAGCCGATTCATTTTTTAATAGATAAAGGTGAATGAACAAGTGAATGTCTTGTTGTATATCTACATTGCTGTGGTAGGTTATAGTTTTTATTATCAAAATTGAAAGCAGGTGAATTCTCTTTACTTCAATTATGTCCATTCAAAACATAAACAACACAATCATGCAGCCTCAAAACATTGTGATTAATCAGGTGCCTCTATCACATGCGATTATGGCAAATGTTAATGCAAATAATGGAATCCCAATAGCCACAGCTATTGCTCATGCCCCTGCAACTGTTGACCAAACAGTAGAGATTAAAACTGGAATTGTTGTTGAAAGTATACCTATAGCCGGAGCTAATATTGTAGGAGTTCAGACTGTTCCTGTTCAAGGAGTTAGCCCTATAAAAACTGTCCAATCGAACACCAACTCGCAAGAAATGGTGCAAGTAAGTTTTTTTTTATATGTACAAACTAGAGCATAATTTGGTAAAAAAGGAAAGTACAGAATATTTTATAATTTCAGATTTTAAATAAAACTCGCCTTAATGACTTAGTCCGTGATACAGATCCAAATTTGAATCTAGAAGATGAAGTGGAAGAATTACTTTTGAGTTATGTGGATGGATTTGTAGATGGCGTGTTAAATGGTGCATCGTTGATTGCCAAACACAGACATGTAAATGCAATTGAAGTAAAAGATATACAGCAGTTTTTGAGTATGTTATGTTATGAAAAAGATGTTATGAAATTAAATGCTGTTTCTTTTTCAGATCGTAATTATAATATGTGGGTTCCTGGGTTTGGAACAGATGAGTTAAGACCATATAAAAGATCTCCAACAGCTGATTCTCATAAACAAAGATTAGCTCTTATTAGGAAAGCATTGAAAAAATATTAGTGTTTTTATAAAAAGCAAATTAAAAATGAAATGCAAACATATTCATCATAAACTTTTTACAATATTGTATATGCAGACTTGAATTAAAGCATCTAATTAAAAAGCACCAGACACTTTCCAGTACACAGAAGTATCAATTATAATGAAAGGTATCTATGAATTGCAATTTGCTTTGTCCATCTGGAGTATTTTTATAAATTGCTTTAACTTACATTAGATAATTAGAAGAAAAAGTGATGAGACATTTGCAAAAGTTTGTAAATAATAAATGGTTAACTAACAGTTATTGTAGGTACTTATACTATTTAAGTTTCCAGTAGTGTATTGTTTGCGAAACGTTTTTATTAAGAAAAAATTGAAATAAATTTTGTGTGCGGTTCTCACTGAATATAAATTTATTATTAAATTATGTTTTGGTCACCTTCAGAAAGTAGTTACAACTGACTATAATACCGGTCACTAGCAACTGTGTTAAATCAGAAGTGGTCAAATCATAGATAATGGCCAAATCACACTCCATCTATGGCTCATTTAATAATACGTCAAATACGCATAAGTATTATCCGCCATTTTATTGCTTAATGTGTTCATCTATGGTGTCCATTGCGGCGTTTATTGAAAGGCGAAAGTCAGTGTGGATTTTTTTCTTATTGAAAGTTACGGATATCACGGAGAAGATGGGATTCTAGTTGCGAAAACGTCTGCACACGCAAGTGTGCCTATACAGATAGAAATAATGGAGTAAGTACCGAACAGAATTAGTCGCATTTGATTTTTAATAACATTTTCCAAGCAGATGGTGTTTCAAACTAGGTTTCATAATGACTGCTTTTGTATGGAGTGTGTTTAATTTTTTTTTTAACGAGGATAACCGATAGAAATATCTGCGTGAAACATACAAGAAGTATCATTAAAACTGATTTTATATGAGATAAAGACTTTATTTGATTTATAAATAGTATAAATTGCTGCTTGAGGTTATTGTTATAGTTTCTTCTTTTAATGTTACTTCATATTGTAGATTGTAGGAGAATGTATGTACATAATGTACAATTACGTAATTAATTTTTCATTTTATTGATAAATGGTATTTGTTTCAGAGCCAAAATGGCACATTTTTACACAGCCGACTTTTCGGCCTCAAACTTCACCTTAAACAATCTTTCCCAATTTTATGCTTGTTACATTGGAGAAGACAGCAATGTTAAGCACTTCTCTAATGCAATGGAAACCAGAGCCTTTGTCTCCTCTGAATTCTCATTCTAAGGAGGCATGGGTCTCTGAGGAAGATATCGCACTTTACTGGCCAACTTTAGAGCAGAATAATGATACATTGGAGGATGACTTGGAAACTTTAGAGTCTAAAGCTGAAGTTGCATCTAAAATATTAGAAAACCTCAATAATTTAAATGATTTGGATGACCTCATAAAAGAAGGTAGGAATGTATGTATGTTGCACGTTTCTTATATTTATCATCTCTGATAAATTGCATATCACATATAATGTGAAAAGTTACCTAAAATAGATTATACTTGAATTTTAGTGTGCTTATATAACGCACAGCATTGTTTTGTGTACATATTTATATGATGCACAATATATCTACACTCAAAAAGTGTAATATGAAAAAATAATTCTAAAGGTTTACTTGTTAACTAAATGTATGCTCTATATGTGTAATCAGCTTGTAGCTGCTGCCACCACAACTAAATAATCCAACAAATTGTCCACTACTACAAGTAATGTAGAAGAAATTGATACAAAGTCTTGCATTATTAAAGATGCATTTAATCATAGTTATTACAGTTGGAAAAAATTACTTAAAATTAACTTCACAGAATGCAATTGGGATGTTTATTTTATTGTTTTTTTTTTTACTTACACTGTAAAATGTAATGTGGGATAATGAAATGGTTTATTTACATACTATATTATTCTACTATACTTAAGACGTGTATTTTTGAATTGTTATAAATTACTTCCTAAACTTTTTAGAAAGGAGTACCTATTTATCATCACATTTTTCCATATTGCAATTAATTATTTATTCAAATTTACTTACATAACGGTCATGTGATCATTATTTAGATTTTATTACACGAAGCTCGTCTTTATCGGTCGGTTCAAGAAAAATGTAATCTAACTTTCCTTTGCATAGCCTTGTATTGATGCTTTTTATCAGTTGAAGGTTCACATAAACATCATAAATATAATATATGTAAATCTCTGAACGTAATAATGAACGATTTTTCCATGTTAGTATTTGAAATTGTTAAATCCCGAAGAGCAAAAGAGAATTATTAATAATCGACAAGTAAAATTAAAAACGAAATCTGTGGGCTGCAAGATAAAATTTATTTGCTAAAGAAAAGAAAGAAAATGTTGGTAGGTTTAATAAAATTAAATCTTAAAAAAATATGATGAAGTCAACCCTTTAAAAACATTCACGAATACACGTAATCTTTATTTATTTTCTTTATCAAAAAAATAATTGGCCAGATTTTCTTGGTGAAACGTTGTAACTATATAATTAAGAACAGTACAGAAAACCAACCATGGCAAAGATGGGCCGTTCATGATTTTTTTTATAAACCCGTTGTACATAAATATTACTGATTTGGAATTAGGCTGTCGTTTTTTTGACCTTAATATCATTTTTATTTTAGGTACCTACCTGACGTTATTGGTCGTACTTAAGAACCATTATTAAATTTTACCGTCTATTTAGAATTTAGTTTTTTATACACTCGAATAGTAATACATATATGTATTTATCGCTAACAAAACGGGTATTTTTTCAGAACATTTTGTTATTGTTGTAAACAATTTATAGGCATGAAGTAATAAGACCGAAAGTACAGTAAGAAGCAAAAATATTTAATTTACTCTTGAACAAAGATTAGATTGGTGTTTTATCGTTTTGATATGTAACATTGTTTTCTAGGTATTTATAGGTAAGTAGAAGAGTAGGATTTTTGTCAAGAATTTTATTTTTGTACATGCTGAAAGTAGTATATAAAAAGAAATAGTTTACCTTGTTAAGAAGGCCACTTTTACATAATCGAAGAAACGTCTAAAATAATTTTTGATTATTATATAGATATTATGTAGAACAATTAAATGTTTTATTAGAAAATTTTTGAAATTGATGGAGAAACGGTTTGATTAATTAGACTTGTCCATTAAATGCGAATTTGGAATATATACATATATATATATATATATAATTCCAAAACCATATGCTTAATATTTGTGATGGAATACTCTGATAAGTAAATAATAATGCTAACATAGATGTATGTCTGTGCTTTGTGTAAGTATGCATGTGAACGTGGAGCCTCACACGTCCGATAAAATAACGTGTTCGTTCTTTTTCAGTGTGTATGTTTCCAAGTGAAACTTTTCATAATGTAAACGCAGTAACCTGTTTATTAAATAGATTGGGCAAGGCCACATACATATCTTTTTTATTATTACACATTATCTCTGGCGCGGATTGAGAGACAGTACTTTGGAATGAGTTGGTTGTAGCAGTTTGTTCTGCTAACGATTTGGTATTATTAATTGGTGTATATGCAAGTCGCGATACGCTCGTCGTTTTTTCCCACTTTTTTCTGACTTTTTGTTGGTGTGCTTTGGTGGTGTTCACTGCTTATTTGTTTATTTTCTATCATTTGTTGTTTCGGCGGTCGTGGCCATTTTGGTAACCAGCTCTTCGAAAATTGCTACGGTACTTTTATGTGACGGTACTTCTCGATGTTCGGTTTCGATGATCCAAGCCGTCCACCTGTGTAATAGCATGAAGTTCAGCTATCACTACACGTGGAACAGGGAAATTGTGTTCAATTCTCAGAAATTGGTTAAAAGACGACGCTGACACACCTTTGCCGGAAGCCTCCACGAATTCTCCTTTCCTCCCTTTGCCCAAAGTCTTTCTTCTTTTTATTCCTTCAATTATTCTTGTATTTCATTTTTGCCAAAAATTTTTTACTTGCCGTCCATCAGCAATGGCTGTATGTTATGGTATGTTGTTAGGAAACTTAAACAGGAGCAGACAAGAATTTCAAATAAACATAGGATTAGTTCAACCTTCTCAAGACATAATAATTTAATCAATAAGCCCCAGGTTGCAGTTAATTCAATAAATTAGTTTTTAGCCCAATTTTAGTTTAAGAACCCTTAAGTTTTCAACTTTTGATTTTTTTAACTGAATGGAGATTGAATAGATTGAAAACACAGGTTTATTAGAAATGTTTCTTTATACTTCCTATTAATGTCTGAAATTAAAACATTTACCATAGTCAGTTATAGATTCACTCTTCATTTATGAATACTGATGTAAGTGTAATTGTAAGAAGGAGAAGAGGTTGCCTGTTATTAATGAGTTCGTTAGTTATTTCTATCTTCATTATCAAAGTATGCATTTAACAAATTGCTAAAATACAAAAAGAGAAAAAAATATTTTAGGTTTTAGATGGAACTTAATTAAAATTAAAAGCAACAGTGGACAGCTTTATATAATTCATATGAAACAGATAAAAAAACTTTAAAGTTTGTTGAACTTTAGGTCGTATCGTGTTTACAAAGCATTCTGTCTATATTCCAATCATAAAATGTATTGACGTATATATAGCCAACCGATCACATGGTACATAGGTTTTGTATACATATTAGTATGTGGGTAATAAGAAATAGTGTACTTGTTCTTAAAATTATGAAATTAATTTAAAATTTTAACAGAAAAAATTATGCTGATAATTGTTGATAGTAGTGCGAGTTAAACAATGTATAGAAAAAACTGTTCTATTTGTTACTAATAACATTTACTGATGTTTAATCGATTTTTAATTCCATTGCTGCTCTTTTGAAGTTATTTCGAATATGCCGTTTAGATATTTGCCAGTTTTCTAATTTACTTCAAACAAAATGTAATTCAAAATTTGTCAGATATCCTATCAGATGATTTCATACATTTCTATATTAATTTTTAGCTGTCTATTCTTATTCGAATTACAAAATTTGACATTTAGTAAAAGCATGAATAGATTAGAGCAAATCAAACGTGTTTCAGAAGTGATATTTCCAATTTAACGGTAGTGAAAGGATTAGGCAGTTAATTATTTAAGTGAAATTAAGTAGACAATTGCAGGTGTTTGGAAAACGCATACTAAATAAATAATGCATAATTTACAGATACAGATCCAAATTACTGGTTTTTGATTTCTAATTGCGAATTATTAATTAATTAAGGTAGGTGCTACAAATGTAGGTTTGTAGTTAGGTAATACTTGGAATAATATCAAAGAAACTCACTGTTATAATCTACTACAAAGTTTTTTAAAAAAGTTCGCGGTATATAGTTGAATATTTTGTTTGTTTTACGGTTTGTAAATTACAAAGTGTCGTTTTCGTAACGTTAGATACCTTTTTATCAATAAAATTTATGGGTACATGCTTCGTTTGTGTTACGTTCCTTGATATGCTGCTGCTATAAATATTGAATAGCACTATGTTTTTTATTAACACCTTACTTAATTTTGCATTTCTCTATTTGTTACGTTTCGGTTAACGTTAATTTAATATTAGCAGCTCTGCCACACCTCTAAATTTATTTTCCTTGTGTAACAAGGACAATAAAGTAGAACTTTCACTATTAATAGTAATTCAGTATGGTAATGTTACAAATTGAAGCAAAATTGCAATGTATGAATTTTTTTGATTCTTATGCGTTTTAAATTGGAGGTTGAAAAGTAGACTTTATGCTTAATAAAGTTATATTGTTATATAATATTTTTACGTTTGTTTTTGTTCCTGTTTATGATTGATTGGTGAAGAGATGTTTCACCTGTTTGTAATTGTACCAATTTGTTTAACAAGCTAATTATAATGTTTAATAGAGTCACAACGTCCGTATGCAATAATGTAATATTAAAATATTAATGGTGAAAAAGTAGACAGATTATTTTACTCAGGATAGCTATTCTATACGCAAATCTGCACATCTGTTTTTATATTTTTTTGGGTTGTAATGTAAGCGTAACATTCAAAGAAAAATAATATTTGGACTAACTAGGTATTCTATCTGCGATTTACCGTCATACATATTACCTAATTATATTTCCCTTTTTATTTTTGTTTTTATACGTGGCACAAAAAGCAAAATTAATATATAATAATTTTTCGTTTTAAAAAACTGGTAACACAATATAAGTAAAACTGACTTTGTTAATATACTTTAATCTAGAATCTCTAATGGTAGGGTACATATATAGTCTAACCCCTCTTGTATTTATTGGGGTTTCTTGCCTTTTTTTATATAATTATCCTCGCCAGGAAGAAAGAGCAAGTTATTATCTAATTTATACAGACAGGCCATGTCATTAAATTCTAACATGTATTTAATGCTGGGTATATCAATTCATACATGACAACAGAATAATCATGGTAAATCAAGACTAAATCGTAACAAATATAATTTGATGACAGTCCCAAAAAGGATTTCAAATACTAGAAGCATACAAAAGTGAGGGTCTAACTAGAGTCAAATATAAAGTAGGATCGTTAAACTAAATAACAAACTTATCAAAAAAAGTAACCTGCAATTCAGTTATGGACGTAAGAGTGCATAGATAACTAATCGTTATAACGTTTTCAGAACCTTTTGTTAACTGGTTAGAAGACAAATCCATTCCAATTTTCGAAGATGTCGGTCAATCTACCTGTTCTCCGACAAATTCTTCTGTTCAAATCAAACCCGAACAGCACATTAATAACATCTCACTTGCGGCACTACAGTCCGATACTCAAACACTTCTCCAGGAATTCGAAACAATTTTTGATCAAGTTGAAATGACCCACGTTGCTCTCACTCCACCTCACAGTCCTCAAGACAAATCTAAGCTTCACACTCTTCTTCCTATTCATGAGAAACAAGTCCAAAACTTTACACCGCCAGTCGGATTTATCGTTCATCCGCAGACCCATATAGATGTAAATTATCATAATGTTTCACCACCAACACCTCAACTTGACGTGGATTATGAGTTAGCAGAGGTCGAGGAGTTGGTGAGAACACGGGTGCAAGACATGGTTCACAGTCCCCTATCTCCCACAACGAGCAGTAGCAATTTCGGAGATTGTTCCTCAGACGATCCAGAATGGACGCCTGAACTGACAGAATCGCCACAACTTGCACCGGCACTCGGAAAGTTTCGCGAAAGCCGTCGTCAGAAACCTTATGCCAGAGCATCGAATGAAGATAAGAAATCTAGGAAGAAGGAACAAAATAAGAATGCGGCTACACGATACCGTTTGAAAAAGAAGGCGGAAATTGAAGAGATTTTGGAAGAGGAGAGGAATTTGGCTAAAAAAAGGGGCGAATTGGATAATCAGATAATCGATTTGAAGAGAGAAATCAAGTACTTAAAGGGTCTAATGCGAGATTTGTTTAAGGCAAAGGGATTAATGAAGTAAACAATAAAACAGCTAATCCTTACAATTATATCCGACTATATTTTATTATTACATATTAAATACATAAACGCAATTAACTTTAGGATTTAGGCTCGTAAGTTTCTGGTTTCTATTTTTTTTTCTGTTAAATATAAACGGTTTTGTCGCTTCGACATTAATTATCAAATTAAAAGACGGTCGTCAATTTTCGTCAAGGAGCGAAGATGGTTTACCCACTCTCATATTCTGCCGTAAAGTTAACCCAACCCTAGTATGTAAGGAAAGATGTTTAAGTTGAATAACACTTAGTTCATAATTTTACTTTTTCTTTTTTAATTTGTGTTTACTCATAGCATAATAATTTTGTAATTCATGTATAATATTACTTTACGTCAGCTTTTTTCTGATGGTGAATAATCTGTATTGTAATGACAATGTAATATAAGAAGATTGATGTTGCATCACGGCAGTTAATTAACTCAAACATTTTAAATAGTTTTCTTATAAACACATTTTGTAACTATTAATGGTTTTAGGTTGTAATAACTATTGTGGTAAATTGGTGCAATTAAATATCGTTCAATTGGAGGGAGTAATAAATTTCATTGTTTTACCTTCGCTAGTATTTAGTAAAATTTTAAATCCATTTTTGGTTAGTCTATAAATTAACTTTTAGTCAGTACTTTGTAATTAATATGATCAGCATAAAAATTCGGCGAAGTTGTACAAGGAAAAACATTACTAATTATTTAATTGATTGGTATGCTCGATGATAATGTTCAAATTTCAGGTGCAAGAGTTACCTGTGCGAGTAAAAGGGATTTGTAAAATTGTAATATCATTGTTAAAGTTGCACTATTTGCTGCATGTTGGGTTGACTATGTATAACAAATTTTAGTTTATTATAAAATAATATGTATAAAAAGAAAAATACTAATGAGCATCTGTGACTGCGTCTACATGGAAAAAATATAATTTAAAAATTAAATTCCTTCAATAAAAACGGAATAGCAGCGTCCGTCTTGATTTGTCCCAGTACTTTCATGAAATTGTTCACCAAGGAGCGAGCGAGTATCAGTACACACACGTAAGAAGTAAAACTTCTTTAGATTGTATTTTATTGTAGTGTTTTTTAAAAACTAGTCCTAGTTTTATATAAAATAAAAACACAAATACTGCTTGACACATGCAGAGCATATATATTAATAAACTCTCGGTAAGTAACATGATCCCTATCAATATGCAACGCTCGGCGACTATTTTCGGCATCTCCTGCGCCCGTGCAGATCTTCGTATACTATTTTCCTCCTTTCTCACTCTGCTTAACTGAATGGTAATTAAAAAAGGAGTTTAATGGATTTGTTAGCTCTACGAGTTAACTCTCATGTCTCATGTAGTGTTTCATAAAAAGTTTCACTTCAATAAATTGCTGAAAACGTTTGTGTATCTTCATGAACGAGTTCCTTTTGATGTTAAAACGATAGTTTACAGTAAACATTAATTAGTAATTCAATAGTTTTTAGCGGTAACAAACAAAAATGTACAAGGATTTTCAACAAAGTTTTACAAGACACCTTTAAAAGTGTTAGTAAGGATTTATTTCTACGTAATATTTGGTGGTTTGCTCGAGAATAGTAATGTTACGAAAAAAAGTTATTTTTATAAGGAAAAGCATTTTCGAACAGTATAGTTACGTTATAAGGGTTGTTAAATTTTGCTGTATGTTGGGTTGTCTGTACATTGTAGTAGCTGTAACTGGTCCGCTTCTTTGAGCTAACCCTAGATATAGAGAATAAACTGCCCCATAACATCAACGACTCAAATCATAGATAAGTATATATAAATATAACCTAGTAAAACAAGTTATATGCGTCATATGAGTAATAAAATTTTAAATATGCATTATAATCAGCATATAAGAATTATTGGTGAAAAAGTTATATTAGTTCCATACCGAAGATACCATGTTGCTAAGTATGTACATGTGATAGTTCTATTTCTACATCATTCTTAAGGATGGTTTTTACAGATATCACAAGTGGATGTTATCAAGAGAACTGCAAAATTTAACAGCTTCAGAGCCATTGACCTTAGAAGAAGAATATGAAATGCAAAAATCTTGGCATGAGGATAATAATAGTAAGTAATTCTTTTAAAAAATTGGGATTCCGTTTCTGTTGTTCACCCACGATATTCTAGAATGCACATTCATTATTCTTGACAAAAAGCATTTTCAAAACTGCGATAACGAAGTTGGTAAGTTATTTGCAAGTATATTTTCAAAAAGTTATATTACATTTATAACACAGAGTCCATGGTGGGCGATACAAATTTATTCTTTTTGCATGAAGACAGTAGGATAACTGCAGAGGCAGAAATTATGATTGCTGAAAGTAAGGTAAGGGGCAGTGGTTTTGGTTGGGAGGCTGTTGTCTTAATGCTGCTTTTCGGCATAAATTACTTAGGNTTGTAGGATGAGTTACCTTAAATTTTGTTTAAATGTTTCGATAATAAATGTTGTTAAATGCCTTATAAAACATTCATTTAATTTTGGAGAATACTGCCGTACAATTGTATGAAGGGCCATTGTAAATGGGATACCGTCGATCCTATCTTGACCTTTCACTGTATTAGAACCTTTTCATTTAAAATTAACAATCACTATTCTGATAAATGTTTGGTAATGAAAAATTAATTGCTGCTCACCTGCATCCTTAATAAATGACAATTTATGATGAAAACACATAATAAAAACGAACAAGAAGAAAGCATAATCTTCACTAAATTTTGTTGTCACATAAATTTTATTTGCTGGCTGATTCATTCCACAGTAATCCAAATACTTGGATAAAGTTAATAATATTTGCTCATTCAAAACAATCTTGTCTTCTTTGGACATCATGTGTACTAGAGCTCTAAAAGAGAAAACGGGATAAGTATCCAAGTTAACTAACAGTTTTAATGTTTACTCATTAAGCGATTTTAGAGACGTTTCCAAACTTTTGGCGTTAAATTTGCAAGATAAACTCAGGTGAAAATTGACCATATTCCGAAGTAACTGTAGTTGTCCTATTATTAATACACTGTCTAAAATATTCGACAATTGTTTAGACATTCTATTTAAACACATCTGACAGAATTTAGACATGTTTATGTTTTCTTTAGTACAAAAGGTCAATTTTAAACTCATCCATGTTTCACTCATCTGGCCTTTCTTTTCCCAAGCACCTTGAATTAATTTTTAAGAGCATAAACAAAAAGATATATAAAATTATTTTTTAACACGCATTTACTTATAGTTTTTTTCAAATTATACGTTATTCATGTGAGAAAGCAGCCTGTCAAGTCCTACTAAACCAGTTACTTCAAGCACAGTTCCTATACATTTGATAGTTTCTTTATTAAACACATTCTTTTGTGTTTTTATGTCATACCAGGTACAACTTTGCGGAATAAAAATGGTATTTCTGAAGTATTAATAAGTAATTAATAAATAGTAAAGTTATACATACACTAATTTAATATTTACCTGGGATCGGTTAATCTTAAAATTTGTTTAACAAGCCGCCCTACGAAATTTCCACATTGATTATCTAAATACGAAAAACGAGGTATAGGTACATGTTTGCTTTGATGTTGACTGTCCCATTCATATACTTTGTTTCTCAGAAACATATTGCATTCCTCTTCCACATTATAATTAATTATCCGAGTGACTTCCTCCTGCCATATTTTCAACCCATTTATGTTTATGTAGTCCTAATAAATTAAGTAAATCAATAACAAACCATCAGAAATGTTGGCAAATTCACTTGTATATATTCCAAAGATTGTTTGTATCCTTTTATTATGTTAGCTAAGGCACCAACACGTTTTTCTAGATCATCACTTTTTGGGGTAAATATTAAGCCAAAATGTAATGCTTGTGTGATATGTTGTACCAATTCTTTTCGAATACCGTCTTCTAGTAATTTCTTCGGGTCAAGGCAAATTACACCTACCAGAGTGCTTTTCATCATTCGTATTCCTAAAAAATAAATTTATGTTAGTGCAGCTTGTTTTTCCTCTTTCTTTTAAATTAATACCCCGACTATACACTGATACAGAATTCGTTAACTCGGCAAATTCGAAACGTACTTTTAATTGGGCCAAGTCCTTCATTTTGTCCTTATCTAACTTCGTAGGTAACTTTTTCAAAACAGACGTTTGTATTTCAATTATTTTCAGAAGTTTTTGAAACATGGTTTCTGGAATTATTTGCAATACTTTTCGGACGTAAATTTCTAATTCACTACTATAATATTGAGAAACAGAAATCAAATCTTTACTGTGTGACTGATTTATTCTTAAAAGGGGCGTCTCTAAGGCCGAAGCTAACTTCAGAAATACTGCCCTGAGCTTGATGCACAAGGAAGGTTCCTTTTTAATTCCTTTCTGCATAATGGGAGTGAAGGAATCTATTAAAATCCATCCATAACTGAGATCTGCAATTATGTGCAATGCTATTAGACTTTCTTCTTTGATATTAAGTGTTTGGAGCATTTTGTGCAGGTTGTTTCGAATTTCTGACAGATATTGGATGACGTGAAGGTTGTTTTCCAATTGGTGAAACTCTTGGACTTTTTGAAGAGCGTGGATAAGCTTTATTATTTTTTTAGACGAGCTGGTCTCGTTTTGCGATAGCGTTTGTATTCCCTTAAGTATTTCATCGAACCAGTTTTGTAAGTTGGAGTTCTTTTGAATCCGTGAGAGAACGGTAATTCCTCCAAAAACGTCAGACAGTTCTTTGAGGTTGCCACAGCTTTCGTCTTTAAGAGACTCCCATGTTTTTTCCCGATCTTCCAACATACTTTTCAAATGTTCTATGACAATTATTTCCAACTGAGCAGTGTTCAACAACAGTTTGAAAAGCATTGTGAGATCACACTTTGCTTCAGTAATAACCAGGTCTTGCAACTGTTTGCATTTCTTATTCTTTTCTGTTCTTAATAGGTGCAACATGAGCCATCGAACAGCCACGTTACAATCCTTTAAAATATTCATTATAGGATTTATTTCTTTCATTATATTTTCTTTGGTCATGTTACCCTCTTTCAAAAAATTTGCTGTTGATTTTATCATGTTTCCAACTGTAGAACCATATAAATTGGCATGGAATTTGACGTTTTGTGCGGTCAAAATATTTGCAATGGCCAATTTAGCAGCCTTGAAGTTATCCCATGACTCCAGAAGATTCATAGTAATGCCCATGTACAGAGAAATGACCCAATTGTCAGGAAAGTATTTATCAACAATTTCTCGCATAACAGAAGCTTGACTGTGGAGTATTTTTGGACAGAAAAAAAGGGAAACAAACAACATCGTAGCTTGCGTTGACAGAGCCGTGCTGCGGTGTTTTGAAGCTTGGTACACAGATAACTGATTGTAGATATCATCCGAACGTAAGCAAGAAATTACCATGTCAACATAGTTTGATTTAATAGGAATCCTCCTAAAATTAATACCAATCAAACAGAATATAAACAGGTTTAAATCACTTGCTTGAAATAATCCTCTGGATAGTTGCCAGGTTTCTTGCCATTACTATATCCAGTATCTCGAATAAGTTTACAGATTTCATCGATTGCAAACTCGCCATCTTTGCGTTGGGGAGTGTATCTATAGTAAGAGACCAACAATCTTTCTCTTACACTGCCTTCTATAAATGAATCTAGCAGAAGTAGCATAACACCACATAAGTAAAGTGCCTCGCACTGGAAAATATTACTTTTTTATGAAGAAAGAAAAGAACGAGATAATACACCATCTACCATCAGTTGTTTGCCTTCCGTGCAAGTAAAAATAGTTTCTAGAGTTTGATGTATGAATGTTCCTTCTTCTATATCATCCAGACTTTGATTGAGATCAGTAATGTACATATAAATGCCTTCAAATATTAAATAAAATCTGTTTATTATCTTGATATGATTGTCTCTAAATTCTTCATCTATGTCTTTTAATTCCTGTAACCATTTCATTTATTAAAATACATAGATTAATCATACACATATACTTATATAAGTAAATAATATTTAACAACCTCGCTATCTTCAATTTTTTTTTCCTGGAGATCAGCAATCTTAAAGTAAATGAAATCGAAAACAACTTCTGAATATTTTTGGTTGCTTTGGTTTTTCTGTGATCTATAAGTTAAACAGTTAAACCCGTAAAACAACAATAATAAATTCATTCACCTAAAAACTTCAGGGATGTACTCCTTCATACGCAGAATCTCAGCTATTATTGCATTACCTCTGGAAACCAATTGTAAAATATTTTGTCCATATATATTTGCATCCAATAAAAATTCCCTCATCTTTTACTCCGTTTTCTTAGTAAAAACTATCAAAACAGCACTACAGACATATCCTAAAATTAAAGGTATTCATAAACATCCGCCGTTACGAATTGCGCCCTATGGTATACGTATCTATGGGTATACGGTTCTATGCTTGGGTCGTTGGTTTTATCTATAGTTGGGTTCAACCAACAACCATACATCCAGAGTCATAGAGAATAAATTAATGAATTATAATAATATATATTATCTAAATTCAGAGAAATATTAACACCATCAGAATAAAATAAAAGTGTTTAATGTTAAATTTCAAAGAAATCGTTGATGGGAATGTAAGGGTTTTATTATTTTTGTCTACTGTGTTGTAGGACTCCGTGGACTTTGTTGTTTACTGCTTACCATTAACCTAGAGGGAATTTGCAGTGAAATGGCAGTGGAATATCTGGGGATCGTCTCTCTGACTGTGCTATCATCTAATTCTTGAGTCAGTGATCCCTTGTTTCTATTTGTTGTGTATATGTCGATTAGGTGATTACGATGTCTTAAAGCAACGCTTAACCACCTTCCTGTGATGATACAAGTTAGTTTTTATTAACAACACTAGTATAAACTTCACCAGTACAATGTTGGAAAACGTTAACTTGGTTTTTATAAGAAAGGAGCACTTTATTATTGGGAAGCTGTTTAAGTAATTGGTATTCGGTATTAATTAATAGAAAGTTAAACTTATTGAAATCAGTTAATGATTAGGGAAGAAGGTTGATAGTTACTTTAGTCACTAAGAGGGCTGGAGTTGATCATATGTAATAGTGAGTTCATTTGACATTGCATTAGAGGCTTAAGTTTTGAAAATGCAACATGTTTATTTTGTTTGAAAAGGGTATGCTTTGATTTTTGACTTATTTTTCCTTTCATGTCTAATAAGCCTCATGGAACGCACCCCATTTTTTCATAGGATAAATTGAGGTTAGCTAGCATCTATAGTTATTTGATTTTGTTATTTTGACAGTCGATTGTGTTTTTTAATGTATAGGTTTCTTCATTGTAATATGTGGGTTAATTTTGGCATTTCACTTGGTTTTTGTTATTTATTTCATGTTATTAATTTAATAACATAGTTAATTTATTTTTCATGTCGATTATTGGCAACAAGTTGACTTAATAGTCCGCTGTGTTGTAGGACTCCGTGGACTTTGTTGTTTGCTGCTTACCATTAACCTAGAGGGAATTTGCAGTGAAATGGCAGTGCAATATCTGGGGATCGTATCTATGAATATGTTATCATCTAATTATTAAGTAAGTAATCCCTTGTTTCTATTTCTTGTGTATATGTGGATTAAGTGGTTACGATGTCTTAAAACAACGCTTAACCATCTTCCTGTGATGATACAAGTGAATTTTTATTAACAACACTAGTATAAACTTCACCAGTACAATGTTTAACATTAACTTGCTTTTTATAAGAAACAAACAGTATATTATCAAGAAGTTGTTTAAGTAATTCGTAATCACAATTAATTATCGAGAAAGACAGTAATGGTTACGGTGCTAGTGTTCAGTAGAAAGTTCTGTATGAAGAAGGCGATGTAGGGGTTCGTGCCGGTATTAGAAATCCGGAACGACGGGGTCAGGGGTAGAAAACTGAGGTGCTGTACGAGAGTGAGGCGCTGGGGGTCGGGAGTGTTGTATCAGGGTGCGGTGTCCACTTTCGGTAGTATGTGTGGTGTGAAATGTAATTTTGGAATCCTGGTCCGACGTTCTGAACGTTGTGCTAGGGGTGCGACATTTGGTGTCGTCGACTCGGTATTCTTTGTATGGTATTTGATGCACGGTACTCTGTTTCAGATAAGCGTCGTTCGGCGCTGTGATCGGATTAGGGCATTTAATAACTGGTGACTAGTAGATGGAAACCTACGGACGTGAAAGGTTTTGTGCCTTGAAGTTGTTGGTGCCCCTTGTTTGTTGCAAGGCATTCGGCAACTGATGTGTCGGATATTCGGCGCTGTAACCAACGTTGCGGTCAGGGAATGCAGTACTCGGTAGTCAGTGAGTTGTGTCCGCTGTTACGAGATTATGCTTTGTCCGATACGGTTCACCAGGGTTCATGTAACAGGTAAGTGATAAACGTTACGTTTTTGGGGTGTAGTAGTATTACATGTAGGGGTCGTCTCGTCAGGTTAGGTCAGTCAGGTAACTTCGGGGTATTTCTGGTCTGTTTAGATCAGGTGGAATCAGTTCACGTCGGGTTGGATCTGGTCAGGTCGGATTAATTCGTGTTGGGTAGGGTCAGGTCAAATCGGGTCTCTAGGACGTGTCATTTAAGGTCAGGTCGAGTTCGGTCAGGTCTCGTCATAACAAGTAGGTTCAGTAGGTCGTGCCATTTCAGGTCAGGTCAGGTCATGCCATATGAAGTCAGGTCAGGTCAGGTCAGGTCCGGTAAGTCCGCGTTGGGTGGAGTTAGGTTAGCTCAGGTCAAGTCGGGTCGGTTCAGGTCAGGTCGTGTCGGGTCGCCGCAGGTCTATTAGGTCGGGTCCGGTCGAATAAGGTACTGTTGGGTATTGGGTTGGGTCAGGTTAGGTCAAGTTGGATTAGGTCAAATCGGGTCAAGACATGTCAGCCCACGTCGAGTCAAGTCCGTTCAGGTCAAGTTGGGTCGGGTCGTTAGGTCAGGTCCGGCCATTTCGGTTCGGTCATATCAGGTTGGGTCAGTTCAGGTCAGGTTGTGTAGGGACTGGTCAGTTCGGGTAATGTCGGGTCATTTTAGATCGGGTCAGCTCAGGTCACGTAGCTTTATGTTAGCTTTAGTCCGTTTGTCTCGCCCCCGGTCAGGATAATTGTAGTCGGGTTAGTTTAGGTGAGGCCTGGTTGGGTGGGCTCAAGTCAGGTCGTGTTGCGTTCGGACAGGTCAGATCATTTAACGACAGGTCGTATTGGGACGAGTCTGGTCGGTATAGGTCGTGTTGTGTAGGGTCAGGTCGGCCCCGGATAGATCAATTCGCGTCATTTTAGGTCGTGTTAATTGAGGTCGCGTCGGTTAGGTTGGTTCAGGCCAGCTCGTGACGGGTCGCCTCAGGTCATGTCAGGTCATGTAGGGTTCAGCCTGGTCGGGCTCGTTCAAGTCTGGTTAGGTCAAGGCATTTCAGGTAGGGTCACTTAACGTAACGTTAGGTTAGGTCAGGTCGGATAACCCAACCCAACCCAACCCAACCCAACCCAACCCAACCCAACCCAACCTAACCCAATCCAACCCAACCCAACCTAACCCAACCAACCCAACCAAACCTAATCTAACCTTATCTAACTTAACCCAATCCAACCGAACATAACCCAACCCAACCTAACCTATCAACCCAACCAACCCAACTTAACCAATCCGAATCGAACCTTATCTAACCTAACCTCACCAAACATACGATGATGTTAGGTTAGGTTAGGTTAGGTTAGGTTAGGTTAGGTTAGGTTAGGTTAGGTTAGGTTAGGTTAGGTTAGGTTAGGTTAGGTTAGGTTAGGTT